GAAAGATTTCCGTGTCAAAGGCATAATCCTCGCGGAGGCACCGTTCCAGGTCCTCCAGCTCAGGTAACACAAAAAGGTCATCACAGCCCCAATGTAGGAGCAAGGCCTGCACCTTTGAATACCGCTGTGACGATTTTCCGCGGTTCGGAAATGCTCGATTTGCAGACTTTGTGGATGAAGTGTCAGTATGTGACCTGAAACACATAACCTAGAATCGTCACTTCATCTTTCAACTTACATTCTCCAAGGTCTGAGCGAAGCTGTCGAGGTGCTTGACGTGATAGCTCACGCGGCTGATATCATGTGTGGCGGGCCGAGGCGCATCGCCGGAGCTGGAACCGTACTGATCATGGCCGGCTTGTGAGTCTACACGTACTCTGCGCGACTGGATCGCCGAGATCCTGGCACCTACAGTTGAGTCTGCACTGCTCACGCTGTTCCCGTCATGGGGTCGCCGAGACCTGATGGTCACGTACGGCTGGTGATCGCCCATGTCCACTGGCTTTCGAAGCAAGCCTTGGCCAATCTATGAGCTGATACGCGGGTGTTCAGGTAGAATTTAAACGCGCTTTCGTGGCCAAACAGTGGAATACGGCGCCGAATATCCTTTTTACCAGGATTTAAGTATTCATGAGATGTAAATAGTGACACGAAAAAAAACCAAATGTGCTAGGAGGGCCGTGGAAGCCAAATGGTCTGTAGAAATCGTAGTGGCGTCTGATGCATCGTCAGGTACAGCAGAAAGGAGCCTCTGGATTGTGAGAGAGGGAAGAATGAGAGAAAAGATGTCGTCGGCGGTGTCTTTCGACAAGGCCCCGTTCGTCTCGGTCGACGGAAGGCGGACGGGCTGGAGGGGCATCCCACTCCGCGCCAGCTTCGGTAGCTAAAACGGCTTAGCGTGGCTGATGAGCCGGTGACCGAATGTGGCAGGGCGGGCTGGACCCGTGAACTTATGGGTCTAGTTTTAGCCCCCACACGTGCTGAGTTAACTTACATAAGCCCGCCCACACTGGGTGTCATGTGGCTGGGTGTGGCTGGTGCCTTAGATGGCATTCGTACACCAGAAAGAAGCTTGAGTGGAGTCAGTGGGTGTCCCTGGATTCGGCACCGAGCGAAGTGTCCTCAGCAACGGGTCTCCAGCTCCGACATCGATGCCAACGGACCCATCCGAGCACACTGTTCACTCACTGATCACACCAACCCGTTCACGTCACCGCAGAATCCACTTTCATTGACCTTACCACCTTGCATCTCGTTTACTTATCTCTTCTGGTAATATTCAGAGCGTTTACGGATACATTGAACCGGAACTCATTTGCCCCAGTCTGCAGCGAGATTGCGTAGGCCATCGTACAATATGCGTCAGCGAATCACCTTCATTCATAAGCCCAGTGACGGAGCGCCTCCGGAGTCTCTTGAGGTTAGCGATGCCGGCGTAAAGGGTCCCGAGCTCTTATCTGTCCGGGAAGATAGAATCACATTGGCCCTTGAAGAGCTTCCCTCTGAACTATCCCAGCTTCTGAGTGAGAGTCATGAGCTACACATCAGATGGGTCAGCCCATTCGCCTATGACACAATTGGCCCCTTGGCTTCGAGGGTATCACCAGGTTTCCATCTCTTTTATACGCCAAAGAAGGAGGAGATCAAATGGGACGCGTGAGTTTCAATCAGAGGGTATCGTCCGGGCTACGTAAGGAAAGCTAACATGAGATAAAGGACAAGACTATGCACGGCTCTGCAGGATGCCTTTGGTGGGAGCAGTTGTACATCGTCAGAGGTAAGCTATACTTCCAGACAATTCTCCTCCCGAAGTCACACTCAACCAGGCAAGACCATCAAGACTAACTCTGTCAAACAAAGTCATTCACAACCCTCCCCAACGATAGGTTCTCTCACTCCGCAGCACTCCAATACTACGAGCCCCTAGAGAACCTCGCCGCCTTCAGCCAGTACACAGCCGAGAAGCTCTGCCCGGCATCAGACGCGAACTGCAAGTCCCGCGCAGAGGACCTAAAGACGGCGGCATCCTTTGACATCTCCTACGACACAATCTCGCACGCCCTCAAGCTGACGGTACAATGGCCCTACGGCAAACACCGCGTCGCCGTCGCCTCGACACCGAACCACAGGACCGAGGTCGGCATCCTCACAACCGACTCCACCGCGAAGCCGGAGCCGCACGAGATCGGCATGGCGGGCGGCCTCACCGTCCTCGGCGAGCACAAGAAGCCCGCGCCCGTTCTCTTCAACGTGCCTGCCCGCCACCGGCTGCATTCGGACTCGGGAGACGAGGGATCGCAACGCACGAGCTCCTTCTCTGCAACGTTCCTCGAGCCGACGGGCCTGCACCCGACGCTTCAGCTGCGCTTCGATTCGGCCGAGCCGCCGGTGGAGGACGCCTACTGCGCCGTTCACGCGCATCTCACGCTGCCAAAGACTATCTTTGCGGATCGCTATCAGCTCGCGGACGATCTGTTCCTCAAGTCCAAGAACCTGACCGCCCTGCGCTATGCCAGCACGCCAGTCGATCTCGAGGCACCGGTGTATGCCACGAGGCCGTGGGGTTCCGGTGTCCTCCTCGAGCTCGCGCCGCCAACTACGACAGGAGAGGGGAAAACGAACCAAGAGTGGACGGCGGAGGTCCCGTTGCACCTCCGATACCTGGAGCCCGCGTCGGGCGGGTACACCGAGGTAGAGGTGCCCTACCCGGCTGTCTTCTGGGCGTGCTCTTCCGAAGAGGGTACAAAGTTTCCGAGCAGTCCGTTTGAGAGGGTGAATCTCGGATATGACGCGTTATTCGGACCGAGAACGGTGTTTTGGCACGTGGAGCCGCGACCCGCTGCCGGAGGAAACGGAGGCCGGCTCACGAGCACCGTACGCGTGCCGGTTCTCGAGGCCGGGCAGGCAGAGTGGGTTCGCGCCGGGACGGCGGCTGCGGTAGTTGTTGGGTTCGCGTGGGTTCTGTGGAAGCTCGTGGCGGCGTACTTCAAGACGGGATATGGAAGGCGCGGCGGGGCGGATATTGGTGAGAAGAAGAAGCAGTAGAATACACACCTGGACATCTGGAATATACCACCACCTTACTTACCGTGCCTTACCGCCTTACCTTGATGGGTATATAGACCTCCTCAATTCCATTCCGGTCACCAGCCAGCAGGCGCTCTCTAGGTCGGGAGTCAGGTCAAACTGGCTGGGTGGTGGAGTGGTTCATGGTCAACAATCAATTTATACGCCAACCAGCCTACTCGACGACAGGCTTAGCGAGTACCCGAGTTCGAATCCCAGAATGAGCACCAAGAGATGTAGCCCCCATTCGCCACCGGGGGGTGAACTCTTTTTGATTCATTGTAGTAATTGAATGTGATTAAGTAATACCATGCGAGGTAGTTGAAGATGAAATAAGGATCATCTCATATTGTCATATTCCTACAGTGTGTCGCGGATCTGCACGGCCCGGCTGTGGCGGAGCCCCCCTTGACAACCAACACCGCAGAACGCGGGCGACGCGGAATCCTCCAACATGAAAGTCGCCTGATTATCCCAACGACATTTCTCATTTCTTCACCTTGCTTTTCTGTTCGTCTCAAAAGAAGTCACACCCAATCAACTCCCAATTGACAATCCTAAAGCCACCAATGCATCTCACACCAACCCAACCATGATCTCCTACGTCATCGCCCTCGTGGCATTCCTCATCTTCTTCTCCGACCCCCTCGTCGACTTCTTCTCCCCGTCGTCAACATCCGGCGGCCGGAGCAGCACAAGCCGGAGCCGGGTGGCCCGCACGCCCCGGCCGCAGATGAACGAGTCCCTTCTCGCCATCGAACATCCCAACGCCACGGCTCTGTCGTGCCCTCCCGACGACTACTCTGTGCGCATCTTTTCCAAGGAGCCCTTGGTGTTGTATATCGAAGGGTTTTTGAGTGTGGAGGAAAGAAAGCATCTACTTGAGATTAGGTATGTTGTCTTTTTACATACATGTATTTTACCTTACCTATTTCATGTCACGTCACACGCACATCCGTACTTTCGGTTACAATTCAAGATGAGAAAGATGGATCCATGCTCTCCCATAAGCTTCTCACTCGCCCAACACTCAATCTCACTCAGTCTCACTCATACTTCATTTCACCTCACACCCAACTCATCTCACTCACCCACTCACTCACACCTCCACCAGCAACCCCATCTTCGAACCCTCAACAATAACCCACAACGGCGCAAACACCCACCGCGACACCTCCATCCGCTCCTCCGACGTCGCCCTCCTCCCGCGCAACGACACGGTCCGCTGCATCGAAGCCCGCGCCCGCGCCCTCCAAGGGTGGCGCGAGGACCTCTGGATCGAGAGGCTGCGGACGCAGCGGTACGTCGAGGGCGGGCACTACTCGTATCACTTTGACTGGACAGCCAACCGCGGCGGGTGGGGCCGGGTGAGTAGTATGATGGCCTGGGTTGACGCGCGCGGCGACGACGAGAACGAGGTGCCGCCTGGGACGGGGAACGGGGATGGATTGATTGGTGGCGGGACGGAGTTTCCGTTGTTGGAGGTTCCTGGGTTGAAGAAGGAGGTTTGGTGTCGGTTTGTGGAGTGCGGAGGGAGGGATGGCGGTGACCATGCTAGTGATGGTGGCGATGAGAAGACGATGGGAGGTGAGGAGGAGGGTAAGGGGACTACTTTTAAGCCTGTCCCGGGAAACGCGGTATACTGGGAGAACTTCCGGGCTGATGGGAGCGGTGCCGGGTATGACGAGACGTGGCATGCTGGACTGCCGGTTAAGAAGGGCGTCAAGGTTGGGCTGAATATATGGAGCACTGGGAGGATAGAGTGAGATGACGTGAGTCCGACGTGCTCATACAGCATCATAGCTTCGAGACATGCTCAGTTTAAAATGGTAACATTAAGTATTGCTCAGTCTGTTCTTTTGTACGACAATATGAACGTTTCTTCAGCACCCCATCTCAAGTGATATAGCCCCCCTCCCCCCCAACATACGTCCCAAAATGATGCAAAGATATCCAGCCACCAAAATGCTCCGGCTTGCTTGCAAGGGATAAAAGAATAGGGAAGAAAAGTATCGAGGGAACACACGCGACGTTAGCCGTAACTCTCACAGACACACAACACCTACTATGAAAGACCAAGGAAATTCGGCTCTCCTCCGCCCCCGGCCGTCCAGTCGAAGTCGTCCATGAGCATCGACCAGTCGATATCCTGCAGCGGGTCACTCGTCGGCACAAGGCTCGCGTTCGCATCCGTCGCCGCCGCTACCACAAGGTCAGCAACACTCCCACCGAACCCCCGACCACCCCTACACTCACGCGTCGACGCCGTGCCCCCCGCCCCGGTCCCTTGTCCAACGCCGCCTGCTCCGCCAGCAACACCGCCGGCACCACCAACCCCAACACCAGAACCGCCCTGCCCGACCCTCGCCTGATCAAGCTCCTTCTTCCACCGCCTCAGCGTCCCAAACGCGATGACAGCACCCGTACGGTGCGGATACTGCGAGATGGGCGCCTCCAGCTTAGGCATCATGTGCCTCAGACTCCAATAACTCTCCGACATGCGCAGTACGCGCATCGCGAAATCGCCTTCCTGCACGGAACATCGCCGCAGGGCCTCCTGCGCGTTCTTGACCGAGACATCGGCGTTGGCGAGCTCGACGTCCGTGGCGTGGCCCGAGACGAGGACGTCGAATATCACGGCGGCGGCGTCGAGGATGGTGCGGAAGACGTGTTGCGGGGCGTGTAGGAGGAAGCGGTGCGAGGACTCGAGGCGTAATGACAGGTTGATGAGGGCCTGGGCAGTGCTATAGGCGCGGTTTACGTTGTGGCGGAAGGTGGGTTTGTCTACGGTGGAGAGGGGGATGAAGTAGTAGGATTGGAGCTCGAATTGGACTGCTAGGATGGTGAAGAGGTCGAGGTCTGGGTTTATCAGTAAAGGGGGGTTCTCGACGTGGTTTCGGGGGAAGGCAAAAGAGAATCATGTTTACGAACCAGAGTTGTGTCGAGCCTGTAGCTGCTTTAGCTTGTTCAGCTCGTCTTCCAACAGCTGAATGACGGTGTCCGGCACGCCTTCGCCTTCTTCGGCGACGGAGAAGACGGTCCGGCTCAGTCTGTTGGAAAACTTTTGCATCTCGTAAAGCAGGCCAAAGTAGCCCAGGGCATCAGGTAGGGATCTTCCGCCGGCGGCCCTATTGACGGCTTCATTGAAGAAGCCGGCCGGGGGCGGGAAACCGTTACTTGAGGCGACTCTATGTCATGTAGTCAGATACCAGTCTCTATAGTTGAGTAAAAGAGTTTTATAAAGGACAGAGACATACCTCTGAGCCTGGATATTATACCCCATCCACGTAAAACACGCCTCTTCGTCCGTAATATCAGTCTGCCGGTTCGGCCCTATGCAAAACTCGGGATGAGTACCGCGGCCCGTGTGCAAACCCAGCAGCAGCGCAGCGTTCTGCGCAATGGCGACGTAAGAGGATGATGGGTCGTTGAGGAAGCGGATGGAGGGTAAGGGCCATGTGCAGAGGACGAGCAGGGCATCAACAGTAGACATGCTGATCGGCGGGTTCGAAACGGCGGCCCAGACTTCGCGGGGCAGGTTCTCGATGAGGAAGGGGAAGAGTCCGGCATCGCGGGTGTACCGCCGCGAGGAGATGGCGATGAGGGTCCAGAAGAGGATGGGGCTCTGTTTATAGAGCTTGTCTGGGTCCTGAGAGCGAACGATGGGGAAGTAGGGGTGGAAATGCTCAAAGTAGCTTTTGCCATGACGTCTCAGTCTTTGTTCCTCTGATTTGGATATATGCTGGCTTGAGGATGATGGAGGAAGAAGGGTTGAGGTAACTCACTGGTCAAAGTAAAAATCGATATCCTCCCCAGACAGTACCTTGGACCCAAGAGCCCTCGGCTGCGCGGGCTGTCTGGCGGGACCTGTAGGCGTTGTATGCGATGTGAGGGTCGGCGTTGGGACCTGCTCCGGCTGGCGGGCCTGTTGAACGGGAGACAAGGCCGGCAGGCTCACCCTTGATGCGGAGGGGGGCGGCCGGTGGTCCGAAAAGGCACTGGCGGCGCCGGGGTAGGCGGTGCTCGGGCTTGGCAGCGGCAACGGCAAGGCGGCCGGAGGGAGGATGCCAGTGGCGGAGACGGGGCTCGGGTTGACGGCATTCTTGATAGTTTGGACTTCTTTTTCGAGTTGTTCTAGTTTGCTGTTTGATGTTCACACACGCGCGGAGGTATTAGACCGTGATCTTGTAATGGAAGGACACACACACAATAACATAGGGCACCGGAAATTGAAAAACAGTTAGGGCGCCTTTGGAGCAGGGAGGCAAGGAGAAGAGAGGAAAAGGGAAGCCACCTTCGTCTGGTCATCCGCTTGTGAGACTTGTCAATGACACATTGTATACCGAGCTTAGAGCAACGTTGACACGGCTTATTGGGCGTGTAGCTCGCATTGCACTTGACCTATTTCCAGTCGTCCAAAGACACTCGATTAGCATACGGGACGTCATATTCGGTATAGCAATGCGACAGCTTCATGGAAAATGCAAAGACGCCGAAGGAACAGAACAAGTCTCATCGGCATGTTTGCTGACATTGCATGATGAGCCCCAGGGGACTTGACGAGGTGGCCCCCCCATCCGTCCTTCCCGAGTCCCGGATGCCAACCGCGATCCAATGGGAATAGGAACCGGGAGAGGCGTTGGAGGGGCACGGGGCATGCGTGAAATGTGTGACAGCAGAATGTTTAAAAGATTAAAACACCACGAGGTAAGGTAGCCTTGCAAGGGGTACGAGGAACAGATACAAGATGAACTGGTCCAGGGTATGTATAAAAGGTATGTACGGATACAAAAAGGGAGTATCAGAGGAAAAGTGAAAGCCCACCTTGGAGTCGCGACAGCTCGTGCAGGCTGTATTGCGCCGGATCCGGTTCGGCACTGGAGGGCTGGGCGAGGTATCCCTCTGTGCCGACGCGGGGCTCTTGAGCGGCGGGTCCATCAAGTTTAGGTAGGGTAGGGTGCGCGCGTGCGTGCGTGCGCTCTGCCTCCTTGTCCAGGTTTAAACGCCTCTTTGTATGTTTAAATGAGCCGATTCTGGCGCAGTTGTGGATGCTCGCTCTGATTGTCTGGCTCACTCGCTGGCAGCTGCTGTGGTTGTGTGAGTTGTTGATGGCAGAGGTGGAGAGGAGAGAAAGGGAAACTCGGCGCGGTTTCGGCAATGCAGAAGAAAGGTGAGGAGGAGCGCGGTTTGAAGAGAAATGCTGGGAAAGGCGCGACCGCAACCAGAGAAAGAGGAGACGATCACGTGCGCTTACCAAGTCCATTTCTGAAGGATTCAACGGCGATCTTATCGCGGACAATGTCCGTACCTCCTTCTATCTTCAGGTAAGCACGTCGAATCTGCAATCTGGCCAACATCGAAGCCGATGCTCCTCTTTCGATCCGCCATTTGAGTCATCGCGAGAAGTTTATGGTGTTTTGCGATCAGGGCGACGAGTCAGACGCAGCACACGACTTACTCAATACACGTACCTAGACGCCATGTTCGAACACATGCTTCAGGCCGATGCATGCCGACGTTTATCGACCGTAAAGGAAGAATTAAGAAGGACCATTTACCAGTTTGTCTATCGAGTCAATGTACCTTACGGTGCGCCATAGAGGTATGAAGCTTGGTCTCACTTTGGTGAGTCACTGAGGCAGGGCTCAACTGCCTCGAAAGTTTTGAAGTAAGCTTGGTAGTCGGAGAAAGCTCTCAGATTCCTCGATAAAATCAGGTCGATAATCACTTTGACCATCTTGGTAAAATCGCCGCCGAGAACATCTGCATATTCTGGAAACTGTGCACACTCCAATGGCTTGCTTCATCTACATCAACGGCTACCCGGGCGTCGGTAAGCTCACCGTCGCCAGCGCTCTCTCTAAACTTATTCCACGCAGCCGCGTCTTCCACAACCACCTGGTAATCGACCCTGTCGCCGCCATGCTCGATCGCGACGATGCCGAGGCCTACAACGATCTAAGAACCACATTCCGCAGACACGCCTTGGACACCATCGCCACACACCCTGCGCTTGCGGACAAGACCTTCATCTTCACAGACGCGCGCGAGTCGGGTTCTCTCGGCAGCGAAGCGGCGCAGGATTACAAGGCGGCCGCTGAGAAAAGGGGCGTGCCGTTCATCTCGGTCGTGTTGCATTGCGACGTGGATGAGAACGTCAGGAGGCTTGGAGGCCGGAGGAGTACCGGGGTTGATGAGGCGGCTGGTAACACCAAGTTGACCGACGGTGAGATTCTGAGAAAGATTCGGGAAGATGAAACCATCTTTCAGTTTGGGGACGAAAACGAAATGTGTCTGGACGTCACGAACCTGAAGCCCGATCAATCTGCGCTCTTGATTTCACAACATGTGAACGCGGTTCACTATAGTCTTGATAAAGAAAGTTGAAGGTCATGTCTCATAACACTGCCTGATTTCATCGAAAATCTTATCAAGCGTTACGATTTTTCATATACTCATCAAGATACCCGGAAACTTCTCACACTGAGGTACTTTTTATCATTCTGTAGGAAATGGCGCTAAATGTTGGAATTTTCAAACTCGACATCACGTCCACTTCCTCTCGCAGCTTCCAATCCACATACCCCAACCAAGAACCTTGCCCTGGATAGCTTCGGCGACCTGTTCCCTAGTAGTCCGAGCTTCCAGCATCGCCTTATCCAACTTCTCGCTCAGCGCCACAACTTGGAAGAAATCTGTTGACAGTCAATCTTCCCATTCTACCTGAATGCAGGAGAAATCAAGACTCACATCTGTGGGTACCGTGATTCATAAGAGGGCGCGGTGGAACATACACGCCCTCCCTCCGCCCCTTGCCCCAATGAAACCCTCCCTTTAGCAGAGATTTGCTCTCATCCTCAATCTCAAAGTCTTTGGGGTTCACCTGTCTCTTCTCGGGTGCAATGCCACCGTAAACACTACAGTCAACAAGTCAGCATTATCCTCTCTTTGAAATGTGTGCGACTTACCCGTGGCAGATGGGCGTCGGCAGGGGCGCATCCGGGTCCTCGACCACGATGAGCCACTCCTTGACCTTTGACTCGAGTTCCAGCGGCGCGGACCACGATAGCGCGGGGATACGACCGCCGCCTTCTGTGATGTACTCCGGGCCCAAAGTAGCTGGAGACGCGCCGCAGTCTGGCGACGTGACGGTGATCGTCTGCTCCGTATGAGAGGCGAATGCTGGGGATGTGTAGAAGGATTTAGCGTCGTGGGCGCGGGAGTTTTTGAGGAGCCAGCTCAAAGTCACTTCGACGTATGGATTCATTCTGATGGATTTGAGAATCCTTTGGTTTCCAGGACAATGATTATCAGAGTTGATTGATGGCTTCTTGTGCTGTGGTTTGAAAACGTGGCTGTAGCAATGAGGTCAGATGAGATGAGACGGAGGAGGGGAAATATGAATCTCATATATCGACCGTTCACAAGAACCATGATTAAGCTTGTTTCCGCAACCCGAAACGCTTATTACGGTATGTCCATGCTTATCTCCAGCTAAGCGGACGCGATGCCTGCCTTCAGACGGTCTTACAAGCCTCAAGCCGGGAGGCTTGGACTTGGATGATTTCGGTGCCGATTCGGTCATCACTCGGCCGATCAATCAGTCGTCAGGGAATTGAGGTCTGGGCTTAGTGCAGAAATCTCCCATTCTCTCTTCTTTCATTTCTAATTTGTTTTTGCATGAGACTCAACCGTACGCCAAATGACATAGAGTACTTCACCGAGTAAAAATATGGTGAGTTGCTCATATTGCAGACAAGAGATGTGAGACTCTGGAGAGGATCACTGCAGGGACCCTCCTCGTCTGCATCCGGCTTGGCGGTGCTTAACGGTTTTCAGTGGTCCACGACCCCTGTAGACGGACGCCGCGCCGCGTGTGGCTTGAAGTGGCCCAGGTACGGACATTTCCCGCGTGGTGGGTAAGGAAGCAGGCGGAAAACAACCGCAAAGGACTGTCCATTTCGATAATACCAACATCAACTACAACTAGTAACATTTATTTTAATTGTCGCAACCATTAGCAAAGATGATTCTACAAGAAATTCACCGCAGTCTCTTGAGGAACACAAAGAGCGCTGCTTCCGGTCTATCCAGACACTCCGTAAACATGTCATCGACGCGCCCCTATTCATCATCACGGTCGTTTCCCGCGCTCTTCGTCCGCGGCGGAACGTCCAACGGCCTCATCATCCATAGACGCAACCTTCCGCCAGAAAACGAATGGCACAAGGTCCTACCTGCAGCCATGGGCTCGCCGGACCCTTACGGTCGCCAGCTCAACGGAATGGGCTCGGGCATCTCATCAACGTCAAAAATCGTCGTGCTGTCTCCGCCCTCACGCCCCGATGTTGATGTGGACTACACTTTTGTTCAAGTTGGCATCAAGGATGGCAGCCTCGACACAGCAGGTAATTGCGGAAACCTCTCATCGGCAGTCGGGCCCATGAGCTTGGACGAAGGTCTCATCCGGAACCCGCGCCTCGAACAAGGGGCCGATGGCCAGACGTTCGCTACCGTGCGCATCTTCAACACCAACACATCAAAAGTCATCTCATCGCGCTTCAGGGTCGTCATTGACGGGACAGACTCACCAAAATACGACTCAGAAGGCGCCTACATCATGGACGGCGTCCCCGGCACCGCCTCCCCCATCACCCTCAGCTTCCTAGACCCCGCCGGAGCAAAGACAGGCAAGGCCCTGCCCACGGGGAACCCCCGCGACTGGCTCCTCCTCCCGGACGCGAGCACAATCCAGGCCTCGCTCGTCGACATTAGCAACCCGGGTGTCTTTGTCCGCGCCGCCGATCTGGGCATCCCCTCGCCCGAAGACCTCACGCCGCAGGCCGTCGAGGCAGACGCCAAGCTCAAGGCCAAGCTGGACGGGATCCGGCGCGCGGGAGCGTCCATGATGGGACTGAACCCGGACGTGGAGAGCGTGCCCAAGATCGTGCTGCTCTTCTCCGAGACGCGCGCGGATGACGTAGACATCCGGTGTCTTGCGCTGTCCATGGGCCAGGCGCACAAGGCTGTGCCGTTGACGCTTGCGCTGTGTCTCGGGGCTGCTAGTCAGTTGCCCGGCACGATACCGGCGGAGCTCATAGGCGGCCGAGCCAAGGAGTCTGTCGTTATTGGGCACCCGAGCGGTAAGGTGGATATCGGGGCTACGTTTGACAATGGCGAGATCGTGTCGGCGGATCTTCGCCGCACGGCTCGGGTGCTGATGAAGGGCGAGGTGTTTTACTAGCAACTTGCTAGAGACTCTTGGGCTGTTGCTAGGAATCTCTGACCACGAGACGAGATGCAGGCCACGGATCCTAAGTCCATCTGATACGGCCTGGTATTCAATCAGTCAATATTTACATCGCCGTTGAAAGACTTCTGAACAAAGAGATGAAAGGCTCCTGCGATGCATAGCCTTACTCGGAAGCGGGACAGCGTTTGAAGGGCTCCACGCAATCAAGTAGGTCAGGATTGAAGACCTTCTACACGCAATCAGCACCCCCATCGAATGCTGGGCCGACGTACCCTCTCGGATGCATCGTTGGCGCAAAGGTTCCACGAAGACGGACGTTCATCAACACTGGGTGTATGATCCCATAGCGATTCTCATCGGGATGGTAGGTCTGGCGCCACCTACAATGAGATGTCGAGCCAGAGCAGGGCACATTTGCAGATCTCCGCGCCCTCTGTAAGCTTCTTGCACTTCCTTCTAAGCGATCTGAGCATCAATGCTCGGAAGCCAGCGAAAGCTTGTAGGGGGACTACTTGACGAGGTCTCTGTTGGCATCACAGTAATGCATCTGGCCGTAACCACTGTACAAGGTTGAGCTCAAATTGGCATAACTGGGTCCCAAAGCGACGATGCAAGCAAGCGTCCCTATCATTACACCTGCAGAAATTCCTTGTATCCTGGTAGAGGCAGTATATGTCCAGTTGGACGTGTTTGTCGTCTCCGCTAGATGAGAAAATTGGCAGTTTTAGGAACCGTATGGCCAGAGAGACATGAGCAATTCACCTCGAACGCATGAGCCACAACGTCTTATTGGATACATACTTTACCACCACAGTCAACGATATGAAGCAATCAGTTTTTTGCAAGACGTGTCTTAAGTCGGCAAACCAGCCTATATAATATATTGCTAGGCTTGAGCGCGACAACAACTTCTATGATTGTCTGAAGCCCCGCCATGTATTTCTCGGGACGATATGCAGCGAGGTTTGGGGAGAATAGAAAATCCATGCCCTAGCCATCAGGACGATACTTTAATAGTAGGTGCCCCGCTGGAAGGATGATAGGGTCCCTCAAGCAGGTGCCAAGGCTTGAACGGGGATTCTTTATCGAAATGAGGTTTCCAACTCAAAATAGTTTCTTTGTCTGCGAAAATGAACGCGACCGACGGGCCTCCTACAGAACGTGCCTTTTCTGGGTCGTATGGCCTATCTTGTTCCTCTAGCTTGTACCAGACGCTTCGGGAGTATCTGGAGACTAGCTTCGTAGTAAGATGGTCTACGTAAAGACCTTCTTTTATGAGCCAGGCCATTTCGTCCTCCTGCTTGCCGGTCGGGATATCGTGTCGACGGCGGATCAATATCGGCCCCTGGTGTGGCTGGCGGTACTTGATCTCAAGTTCGTACTTGCCAGTACGATGCTTCCAGATGCCCCTCAATTTATCGGGATCATCAAGATGAATTGTGTTATGCGGAAGATTTCCAGGATGGAATGCGGGCGTGGACATTTCGGGAGCTTAAGACCGAATCAGGTTGCTGTTGGTTGTAGTGGATTGGAAGTGCGGGATGTCGTATTCAATTTTCAAGTTTTCACTGGACGGGCATCCTTTCCATGGCGTTTTATAGATAAGTATGCTTTCAACGCCTGTTTCCATTACCTCAACTTCCTCAACAGCATTCTGAATGTAGAGAATGAGTAAGTATGTATCATTGACGGTGTAAATGGCTAAGGCGGTGCTACTTCACGACAAAGGATTCTAGAGTTGTTGATCGCCAATTACCCATGGTTACATGAATGCGGTAAACGCGTACTATTCGGCAATGCTAACCAGACATCAAAAAAAGGAGGTCATGCTGCTGAACATACAGGACAAAGACAGAAGAATACTTGGGGAATGGGTAATGTTGGCCGGCTTCGCCAAGGATCGCGAGATGAAGATTCAACTTGAAAGATGATGACCCAGATGATATGTTTGTCGATCCCTTTGAAAGCCCCTGAGACAAGCTTCCTGTCGCCAAGGACCGGCATACGAGAGCCTCTAGGAAGCAAGTATCAGGAGGCCGATACTGTCTGCAATGAATATTCTCTTTATGGTTTATTTCAGCGCTGCCCTCAACTGGGTTCAAAGACTGGAAGAAGTCTGTTATGACGTTGCCTCCGAATCGGGTGTGGTGAAGGATCGTCAGAGGCCGACTCGTGAGACCGGGTTGTACCGCCTCTTCAAAGACGAACATTTGTGTTCTTACATGCAAGACATTATTTGAGGCGTTGGCGTGCATTCAATCAGTCATGTGGTCGAGAATTGAGAAAGGCTCTCTGTTTCACTACCTTCTTCTTACCTCTTTCCCGGCTCAATTGTTTTATGAATATCAGTCTGCCCACTTTGTGATACTGCAAAATCTCGATTGCGTCCTGACCTAGAGCCGAAAGTGAAACTAGAATGAAAAGCTCACATCCCTTTCCCCCTGACCTCGCTCACAACAACAGTTTTGCTCGTCACCAAGATCCCAACCTCGGAGCCCGAAGCATCGTCCCCTCTCCCCTTAAAGTCCCTCGCCACGCTATCCTCCGACGGGTTCCCGCTGGCTACCATGACAGCCACGTTATGTCTTTTCTCCCGCAACCTATCCAGCTCCAAATCGTCATCGTCGTCGCTGTGCGTCGAGTGCATCTGGCTGAACCTCCCTCCTCCGCCTCTGGAAAGTTTCGACCCGAGAAGCCCGGATTGGCCAATCGTCTGGAGGGTGTTCGGCTTCGCAGAGGCCGCCCCCGCCCCGCCGGATCTCGTTGTGGCACCGCGTGTGCCGCGGAGGGACCAGAAGCGGCCGACGGTGGCATCGAAAATCGGTTTCAGGAGGGGGCTGCTCGAGACTATGATGGCGACGCCGGGCTCGAGGGTTCCCATCAGCACGACGCCGACCTGGGAGTACGTCACGTCCGTGAAGTCCATTGTCAAGACGTTCTTCAATCGTAGGGCGGCGAAGATCATGGTGCTGAAGAGATTCGTACAGGCTGCTGTCAGCTATCCATATAACGGCATAATAATGTAAGGGCGAGGTGAAGAAACTGGGGATTCTCTTACAGAGCGCCTGCGCCAAAGATGATGTATAAAGCCACCTTATGCGGCCACCGCAGTTGCAGGTTATACACCATGGGTATCGGCAGCACGAGAATGATGAGGTCCGTCGCGAGGTCAAAGTAGCCCACGGCGGCGAAGGCGGCGTTCTGGTCGCCGCACTTGCCGCCGGGCGTCGCCGGGTTCCAGTTCATGGCCACGGGCTGGCAGATGAAGATGCCGATGAGGATGGTGAAGAGCATCCAGCAGACGCAGAGGCCCGTGGTGATGCGGGCTGCGATCTTGAAGCCCTGGACGAAGAAGACGCGCTGGAGCATGAGGGTGATGCCGATCTTGATGAAGCCGAGGCAGATGGCGAAGAGGGTTTGGACACCGTACGCGGCCTGTTTTCTCCCTCAAGGGGCGTGTTGTTAGTCGAGGTTCTCGCGAGAGGCAACATAAATAGAATCAGGGGTATGACGGGGGCATCTTCGGAGGCCGACCTTTGACATGCGTTCGACGTGATATGGCTGCAGGGTCAAGTAGTGATGCCCAGTTCCCCCGAGGTAAACCACTAGAACCGCCAATCAGTATAAGTCAACTCGGCAGAACTTTGTGATCCAACGTACTGACAAAATTGCAGGCCACGAGCCCATAGAAGGCGATCTACCATGTTGTCAATACACCTGAAAGACGACCTGCAACCACGCCGTGTCCTACCAGAGCAACAACAGTCAAGAAATCCTCAATGGTAAACGACTGTCCCTTCTTCCGCCGACTGTATAATCGCATACCCGTCCATAGTGTTGTGGCAAACGTCAGCAGCACGTTGACGACGACAATGGGAACCGCCCTGTCGGAAAGGGGCACGATCTCGGTCTGGATGACATCCTCTGGCTGGACGGTAGCGTTTGTCGGTACGGCTAGACGAGCAAAGAGCGCACCGCTGATTCTCATCATGGATTCGTGTCGGGTGTCGTCTCGCACGACGGGGCGAATATGGTGGCTGGAGATTCTAGTCTTGAACTACTGCAGACGCCTCATCAGACGAGACGGGGGAGCCTTATGGCTTAACTTATCCGTCAACCTCCTTTCCGCAGCGGCACAGCGGGTGATCCACATTCTTCAAGCGGACAGAACATATGCATGATCGAGTCAAGACAACAGGTTCTAGCCGTACGAAGGGGGGGAAGAAAAAAAGCAAAGACCTGCCTGACAGGGGCGCCCAACAGGCATCGTCTTGGGCACCCCCGAAACCAGACCCAGGTTTTGGTCATGGCTCACCGGCCGATGGGCCATGCGGGAGGCGGGCGCACTGGGATCCCGCGTGGCAATGATGAGATATCACAAATTCATGATAACGCAAGAAGTCTACCATGTAGACGGGGCGCTGGAATTCCCACATGGTGATACGATTTCGCGATACAAAGATCGAGAGTCTCTCGGACTTCCTGTGCTTGCACTCTGCATGAAGCTGGGATGTTGAAATAGGGCCCGCTCCAAAAGTGCTATGGAGCCGCGCTAATCCAGGTGAAGAAGAGGGACATGTCGAGTTATCTCAAACCAACGAGACTACGTTTGGAGAGCAAGCATAACAGACGTTAGTTCTGTCTGTCCGCTGACGAAGTCGGAATATGCTTACGGCTTCCATAGAGTTGCAGTACTCCATAGACCGATTGCATATCGTAAATTCAGTTTACGTCGATCGACCAGCCAAGTCCCATCATCACATTAACCCTATCCGCGGACCGCGTCGTAGGGAACAGGGGATGACGGACCGCAGAACAGGTCGTCTCTGCATTCGGTAACCTGGTCCGAAAGAAACCCCACAACTCCGGATCCTTGAACGTCCAACACCACTCAATCGACTGATGAACCCACTCAGAGGCCTCTGTCAACTAGTCAGGAACCTGGTCAAAGGATAACGACAGAGCTTGGCCCGGAAAGGTTCCCCGTGGAGGAGGAATATTGGTGGATCCCCTTCAACGGGAGGACAATGGGGAGAGAACCTCTTGATCTGTCGATGTCGCTCACCCGCCGTACCCGAGCCACCTTCTGGCCCTGGCCTTTTTTCCTCTTGCGATATCGAAATATCCAAAATTGCGCCGAGTTCCACATGGCAATAGTCTCCGCAACGGCCGCAGAACGGAGCCTCGGACGACGATGCTGACGGGCGACGTGTGCGTGATATCTCCCGATGCGTCGCTCTTAAAAGAGAAGCGGCTGCGGCGTCTGTCCAGCTTCGAGTGTGTGTGAGGTCTTCTCTCTTTGTCCCTCTACTACGCCCGGTTCTCTCTGCATTGCATTCTGCAACGGCTCGTCACACACTCTGCAGTCCCAGCCTCCCGGGTTCCCGATCTGCAGCATCAATCACAACTTACGCCGAGTTTTCCCCTTTCAGAATCTTTGCGTCGAATCTTGTTTTACGTGCCGCTGCCCTGCATAACGACGACACACAAATCAGGAAATCATGCTACCGACCGACGTCTGGGACTATATTGTCGTCGGAGGCGGCCTCGCCGGCTCCGTCGTCTCGAGCCGGCTGTTGGCGCTCAACAACACGGCCAAGATCCTCGTCATCGAGGCGGGTCCCAGCGCTGCTGGCCGGACGGACATTCTCTACGTCAACTCGACCAACCTGATCGCGGGCGACTTTGACTGGAACTACTACTCCACGCCGCAATCCCAGCTCAACGGCCGCACTATTCAGAGCGCTGCCGGTAAGGGTCTCGGCGGTGGCTCCCTCATCAACACATGTAAGTCATCCCCTCGTAGTCTGTTCTGTGGTGAAAAGTGCATCCGAAAATACTGACCCCTTGCTGAGGTGGATGGATGCGTGGTGCCCGCGTCGACTATGACGAGTGGGCCGAACTGGCCAACGACTCCCGTTGGAGCTACGAGAGCCAGCTGCCGTTCTTCAAGCGGTCCGAGGCGTACTGGACCGACGTCAACGCCGACGAGCACGGGTACGACGGACCCCTCAAGGTCGAGGTGCCCTCAGTCACGGGCCGCGTCTACCCCCTCAGAGACGCCGTCTACGCCTCGTACGAGTCCGTCGGCGTCAAGGCTCTCCCGGGCCTGGACGCTAATGCCGGCCAGAACCTCGGCTTTGGCGAGATTTCAGAGAACCGCCGCAACGGCGTCCGTCAGATCGCGTCAGAATACTACCCCCTCGACGGCGTCACGGTCATGACGGACACGCTGGTCGAGAAGATTATCCTCCAGAGTGACAACAGCTCTAGCACTGGTGCCCTTCTCGCAACCGGCGTCCGCCTCGCCAACGGCACGGAGATCCTCGGCAAGGAGGTCATCGCCGCCGCCGGCGCCTACCGCACGCCGCAGCTCCTGATGCTATCCGGCATCGGCCCGTCCGACGAGCTCGCCAAGCACGGCATCGAAACCAAGCTCGACGCGCCCGAGGTCGGCAAGAACTTTGCCGACCACCCCTTCTTCACCTACAACTGGCGCCTCTCCCCGCAGTACCGCAACGCGACCGTCGACTCAGGCAACACCCTCTTCTTCCAGCCGCAGTACGGTCTCGGCCAGCCCAACAACTTTGTCGCCTCCTTTGGCGTGGAAGACCAGGACGGCCTCGTCGCCGCCATCACCAAAGAAGAGGGCACCGCGCCCGACCCGGCGACGCACCCGCTCCTCAAGAACGAGCGCACCCTCATGGAGGGGTTCGTGCTCTACGTCAACACGAACCCGGCGCTCCCGTCCAACAGCACCTACCTCACGACCGCCAACGTCGGCCTGCACCCCACGAGCCGCGGCTCCGTGACGCTCGCCTCCGCGGACCCGAGCGAGGCCCCGCTCATCGACCCTAACTTCTTCGCTTCCGAGGTTGACCGATTCGTGTGGCGCGACTCGATCCGCCGGATGACGCGGATGATGATGGGCGGCGAGTCGCCTCTGAGCCAGGGGATCGTCGAGGCCGAGGCGCCGGCGGAAGGTCTAAAGGCGTTTACGCTCGAGTCGACGGACGAGGAGATTGAGGAGCGCATCCGCGCTTCCGTCATGTAAGTTTTGGATTTTCCCCTATCCCATATGCCGTACTCTACATGTCAACTGACACACATCTTAGCGGAACGTACCACCCGATGGGCACATGCGCCATGGGCAAAGTCGTCGACAGCGATCTGCGCGTCAAGGGCGTCAGCAACCTCCGTGTTGTGGATGCCTCCGTGTTCCCGACAATCATCACGGCTCACATCCAGGCCGCGGTGTACGCCCTCGCCGAGCAGGCTGCCGAGATCATTGCTTCGTCATAGGTTGAAGGACTCTCGTTTCTGACGTTGACGACATTATGCATGAAAATGAGAGAGGAGGCTCTATGAGTGATGTAAAGATACATACTAGTAGATAATGCTTAATTAATGAAGATGGGAGGCGCTTATGCCGCTAACGCCGTGCCGTGCCGTGCCTCCGGTCCCACTTTCGGCCCGGAATTGGGCTGATTTACGTACCCCCCCAATGCTCCGTAGAGGTATGTCTAACTGTACCAATTTTCCGAACCCGAAATTCAGAATAGAAGTAGGTTTCTGAAATGAGGATCAAGGACTGCGATTACAGGCAGCAATGGAAATGAAAAGATTTCGTCAAAGAACAAGACCAGTGCGATGGCTTACATGAAGTTAGGCAGGTCGAATTCTCCAGTGCCTTCTTTCCCCCACCCCACATCTGAGACCATCGACCTGTAGCGTGCTAGCTGCCTAAGTCTCAGCCATCTCGCCATAAATTGATGACACTCATCACCTCCCACTTGCAACATCCAAAGCCATACCAAGTCGCACTCTATTATCCAGTACCTTTTTGGGAGATTAGAAGAAGAGAAGAGAGAAGAAAGACACGATACGCGGCAGCCAAAATTACAAGTGACTCCTCCCCAACTCACCAGTCTGAAAGACCGACGCTCGCCAACCTCACAACCACAACATTTCGAAAACCATTTCAGTCACGACCAACAAACAATATGGCCTCATCGGGCCCCCCTCGCCTCTACTTCGCCTACGGCTCCAACCTCTCACCAACCCAAATGTCCCTCCGCTGCCCCGCCTCCACACCCCTCGGCCTAGCCCACCTCCCAGACCACACATTCATCATAAACGCCCGCCGCTACGCCAGCGTCGTTCCCAACGGCCCCGTAAATCCTGCGCACTCCGCCGCCGCCGCCGCCGCCGCCGCCGCCACAACCACGGATCCAGTTTCGGGCCCGGCGTCGGCTCCCGGCGTCTACGGCGTCCTCTACGCCCTCCCGCCCCAAGACGAAGCCACCCTCGACAGATGCGAAGGCGTGCCCCACGCCTACCAAAAGCAAGACCTCGCCGTCAGCATCGTGAACCTCACCTCTCAAGGCAGCGGCGCCGCTTCTGCTGCCGCCGGTCTCACACCGGGCAGCAACGTCACGGCGCTAGTCTATGTCGACACCGAGAGGACCGAACCCTCGACGCCGTGGGCCGAGTACGTCGACCGGATGAACCGCGGCGTCGACGAGGCGACGGAGAGGTTCGGGTTGCCGCGGGGGTACGTTGATGACGTGATTCGGGCGTGTATCCCCGCTGCTGCCGCCGCTGCTTCGGACGAGGATATTGGCGGAGGTGGGAAGAGCAAGACCATCAAGGACCCATTCCTTGAAATTTCTTGAGTTTCCTAAGCACTAATTCTGCCCTGGGATCAGACGGCGCCAAAAAGCACAATCTCCCCTACGGCCTACCCAAAAAACCTGGACAGAGCCCTGGGCTTCACGATCCGACTCTCGCGAGCGGTATTTCGATCCCCTCAAAGCACTTGCATCCTACCCATCGTCATTCCCAAACTATACACCCCAAACCGAGGAACTTCCCCTTCCCTTTCCTGCCATTCTCGTCATACCTCAGTACCTCAGAAACGGGCAATCGTAAGAGAGAGAAAGACCGACCAACCGCACAATCCCGTCGCAAAAATCACCCAGGAAACACTCCAAAACCTCTTGGCATAGCCAAGAAACGCCTTGGCAAAAAGCCCCAACCGGGAAACGGGGGTTGCCTGCCTGCCTGCCCCCTTTTCAAGCTTCTCTCCGAGAAGCGTGATGAACACTACACCACTGGATTGTCCCTTTCTTCTTTGTCAGGGGCCAGGCCAGGAGGTTGCGTACAGGGCCTTCAGGCTACAGCAGCAATTGGAAACCGGACAGTCGGTATTCCGTGGTGAGAAGAGACTTCTTTTTTTAGAACCCGAGTGAGACACGCAGGGAGAGAGAGAGAGAGACATCAGATGAAGAGGAATGTTCCGAATGGAGCACGTGGCTGGTGCACAGTCCATGGAACGGACGCGATTGGTAAGGCTGGTTAGAGCAGCTGAACATCACCAGATTCGGGATCGCGACATGAGAATGGATTCATTGAATGCGATGAAAAGTGATGAAGAATCAGCCAATACTATCATTGACGAAGTTTCTGGCTCTAGGTATCTCTTTGTAGGTTATCGCTCTACTCAAACAGCTTCAGGCTGTTCGGCCGTCTCTTTCGTATCCTACTCCTCTCTTTCTCCTTCAACCTCCTCCAAAAGGAATAAGTGCTGTCTTGTTGAATGCACATCCAAATAACGCCTTGCTCGATGCAGATACATCAGCCATAATTCTTGAACATCTTGTGTAAAACATGAGAACCCCCCAAAAAACGCCCTCGCAATGCAATGCTATGAAGAAGCCAAGAAATCGACCGTTTGAAACATTAAGCTCCCCCGAAACCCATTCCAACAGAATGCGGCGTGTTTGTTGTTTTTGGTGGTTTAGAAAAGGTAAAGCGAGAACCCAGTCGCAAAGGCAACGGATCCCGCAAAGATGGACGCCGCCAGTGGCGCCAAAGACGGCGCGGCATTCTTTCCTCCACGCACAATGCCGTCCGTGGCGGACACGGGGCTCGCGACGGCGACGGCAGACGGCACGGCGCTGCTGCCCTTGCCAATCTCGAGGACGTTCGTGCTCGTGGCGTTGAACTTGGTCTGCGCCAACGAGACCTCGTTGTTGTCAATGTCGTAGACCACGTACGCCGAGCGCAGGAACGTGTCGCCGAGGACGTTCGTGCCGTCGCCGGCGGGCGCGATGCCAAAGAGGCAGGCCTCAACGCCGTTGGAGAAGGACGTGCGCTTGCCGGTGATGGCGACGAGGTCGAGCACGAGCTCGTCGATGGGCACCGTGATGGGCTGGCCCGAGAAGGTGAAGGTCATGTTGGAGCCCGAGTTGGCCGTGGAGCAGGGGATGAAGGCGACGCCCTCTTCTTGCTGGTAGACGGCGCCGACCATGGAGTAGATTGTCGTGGTCATGTCGTCGGGGAGGTACGTGAGACTGGAACCCGAGTCGAGCAGGACGGCCAGGGCCATGTTTTCGTCCAAGGTCTTTGAGCCGAGCGTCACCTTTGTCAGGGTGATGAGGAACTCGGCGTAGCTGCCAGACTCCTTCTGGATGGGTACGGTCTTGAGCTCGCCTTCGAAACGCTCCGTGTCGACTCCGCCGAAAAGAATGTTGCCCTGGCTCGCGTCCAGATCGTTCAACCACAAGCTGAAGGCACTAGATTGGATGAGGCCCTGAGAGACCATCTTGGCGGGCAGGTTGTCGTAGGAAGCCAAACCGGCACGCCCAACCTGCACTTCGTTGACCTTGTATCCGACTCCTAGAATGCCTTGCGCTGATGAACTCGTGTAGCCGACACCGAACTGGAAGTCGGTCAAAGTGGATCCGCCAATGGTGAACTTATCCGTCACGTAATCTCCAGTCGCTCCCGAGCCGTCGACATAACTAATGTTGAACCAGCTTCCGACGTAGTTGTACGTTGACGAATCGTTGGCCGAGTAGGTACCGGACACGGAGCATGGCGTGCCTTGACCTTTGCAGAGAGCCGAACTTGCTGTGTTGACCCAGAGATCACTACTTCCGGTGTCGAGGTGAAGTCGCATAGGCTGTGCTGGTGTTCCGAGAGAGCCATTGACGAAATACAAAGTTTCCTTGGGAGTGTTAGAAATAGTACCGAAAAGACATCGGTTATAGACCTACCAAGTTGTCCAAAGTCGCTTGCACTGAACCTCTCTTCCTCAACATATCCCTCTTGTTACGTGTGTACGGTATCGTCGCGCGGTGCAGATCCAACCCAACCACCCTTGGTGCGCTGCTCTCGCTCTTCCTGAGCACAAGTCCCTCCGTGGGTAGTAGTGAGGCCGCGAGGGCAATTAATGTTGTTGACTTCATCTTGAGTCTGTGTTTGTGTGTATGTATAGCGAGTTGTACGACTTTAAACTAGATGGATATCCAAGCTTCGAGTGTCGACCGGCCGCCAAGACAAAGACGCCGGAAAGATGTAGATATAAGAGAATGGCGTCGTGCTATGAAGTCATTGATGGCGCAACACGGACGGTAAAGAAGAAGACTAGAAGGATGAGAAAAATATAGTCGGTTGCGAAATTCCGGAGTTCGGTGAAGGCGACTACTCGCGGGGGGGAGTGGGCTCGGTATACGGCACGGTGGGGAGAGGATTCGTCACCCGTGATGGTGGCGGAGCTTGCGTTGCTGATGAAGACGAGTTGGGGGCGGCGGGAGTGGTGAGCTGGCACCGGACCACCAAACCAGACTAGAGAGACGGGAAGGCGAAGGCAAAGGCCTTTTTCTTTCCTTTCCCAATTTGCTTTCGGCGCAACGCGTAAACGTAGTGAGTGGGAAAATCCGGCGATCCGAAGGATTTAAGAAAGTGAAAGTAGGACTCGGAGTGTCTAGTGGTTAACACCAACTCGTGTAGGTTGGTGGTCTTTGGATGAGTAAGTTGCAGTAGAGAGCAAAGCACGAGCAGAATAGTCCAATGCAATGGAAGCACAGAGGAAGCCAAAAGAGCAGAAGCAGAGCCAAAAAAGTGCGGTTGGACGAGAAAAGCAGGCCAAAAGATGAGATGCAAGTCTTTCTTTGTACCAAAAGTCAAAATTCTGGTCCCCCTCTGTTCTTGGAATAGAAACAGCAACAGCGCGGACCATGGGCAAGGCGGGAACTGACACTGCCAAGCGCCACAGTCTCGTCCAAAAGGTCTCACCCAGTCGCAGACTTGACCTCGTCGTCATGCTCGGCGGGGCACTGGACGGGTTGACGGGTTGACGGGGGGGTTGACGGGGGGGTTGACGGGGGGGTTGCGGACAGGGTCCGGGGTTGAGCGTGTTTGGACGAGGCCGGGAGTAGCGAGTTGCTCCTCAAGAGAGACTTACAGCGTACTCCGTAGAGAGAGACCACTTGGTCACGCTTACAGCGGAAGGCTTAGAAGGGTGAGAAGGAAGGGATGTCGACGGACGGAGCAGCGAATTGGTGCAAGATGGTTGGACAAGAAAGGGGAAGGCCGAACGGTCTCCAGACTTGCCAGCCCGGGACGACCCCGGGTCAAACCTTCTCACCGACAGGGTTGGGGGTATTGGAATCACAGGTATCACAAGTATCACAGACTCTCACTCTCACGCACCAAGCATCACTGCCACTGGTAACGGGAAGGGAAGGGTAAGAGAAAGGGAAGGGAGGCTAGCGAGTGGTGAGAGCCATGTCAGGCGGAGTCGAAAAAGACGCGTGGCCGTGCTTGTAGCTTGCCCTTCTAAGCATCCCGTCCCCTTTATTTTGCGGTGCTCTGCCCTTCTTTCTGCAGTTTGCGTGGGCCGGTAGCCGTAAGTCCGTAGCCTGTAAGGAAAGACAACCCAGCCCCCCTTGCTCCCACATTCCCTCTCTCTCACAGTCTACGGTAGTACGGAGAGTGAGAGTCATACCTGCACTCTGAGTACTCGGAGAGCGGCTGCGCAAAAGAAGAGGGCGGTGCGGGTTGCGGGTTGCGGTCGTGCAGCTGCGTTGCGTTGCAGCAGCTGGGCAGGGGTAAAAATGGCTGCATGTGAAACGCGAGCATCAATGTAACCCCCGACCAACAGCGAACCCTTTTCTGTCTCAGCTAGCGGAATATCAGACACGTTGGATTCTGGAACCAACATCGCTACGGGCTCACGGAGTACCTACCTCTCTAATCCGTACCTTCTAGGCTTCTCACGAACGCTCTGGTCAGCCAGGCGCCCTCGCTGCCACACCCGACCTACGGATATGACTTGCGACTCGAGGCCAGCCGAGGAGGTGTTGTTCGTCGCGGTTCCCAGATAAAACCAGACATCCTCTCGGTCCGAGCCAGCATGGGGTAAGACGACGAACGCAACAAGACACAAAAACGAACTGTAACCTCTAAAATTGGTGATACTCGACACTCGACACCTGCACCTCCTTCACACCTTTGCCCTTCAGCCAGGTCTCACGATACAGAACAAGCGCTAGCACCGGCAACACGGTGCCGCCAGAGCCGCATCACTGATCAGTCCTCCAGAAAAGACTCCTGCTTGCGTCTCTCGACGTCGGAGACCGTAGCATCACCAGCGCATGTTGGCTCATGGATTGCGCAACGCGCAACGCGGTGAGGAATCATCTGCTTCACAGAGTTCACTTTGGTCTAGCCGACAGACCCGATCGCGTTGATGCGTTCATCGCCACTCCGGGAATCCGGAAGAGCCCGTCCATCCAGCCTTGCCTTGCCTTAGGGTCAAATTGTCGTCAATCAGCCAGACTTCCATGACGGGGGAATGAGGCAGCGGCGGGAACGGGAATTCGAAAGGGAATGAAATGGAGCTAAAAAGAAAGTGCCCGTCATCCAACCACACGCGCTTCGCCGCTTCGTCCAAACGCTCCCTCTTCTCCCCCCCACTCCATACCGATGCCGAGATCCGATGGCCCGGGATGTGGCGCGCGAGCAGCGTCCGGGCCAAGAGCACCAAGTCCCGGCGCTACTGCAAAAGGTAGGCAAGAACGTCCAGGAACTCCAAGACTCCAGGAGGCCGAAAGAAAATGAGGGATGACGAGGCCACCACGGGTCCGTCGGCCTCTCCAATCTGTCGTATTTCTCATGATTTCGTACGAGAAGTGGATTTGTTAGGTGGGCATGTCCGCTTTTTTTTTTTCTATCGTCCGCGGGCCGAGTAAAAATAAGAACGGTATCCGTAAATAAGGTCAACCTTGAACCGTGACACAGAAAAAGAAGGATACTAATTACTCCGTACGTGAGTATGGAGTATTAGACTTCAAAGTGTCACTGTGTCAGGAACTCCCAAAACCCGCCTGACAGGACCGCTCTTGGTGCAGATCATGTGTAAGGACCCAGATCATAGATCGAAGATGGAGGCGACCGTTCGTTCTTCAGAGTTCGCCCATCTATCTGGCACATCTGGCGCGCAAGAATCCCCCCCCCTGACTCGCCCGCACTCTTTTTTTCGTTTCCTCCCGAACGGGGGTTGCCTGCCATTTGCTTCCACGGCGAATCATGAACTGAAGATCCCCCGAAAAGAAGCATCTCTGCGACGGTGTCCCCCTTTCCCCTTGGACCGTGCACGGCATCCCTCGAAGTCACATGTATAATCACGTGGTTATCCTCAATCCGGATTACTGGCGCCGGCCGGCTGGGTGGGTCCCGGCGCCGACCGCGCCGCTCCCGTCCGGTTCACCTCAACTTGTCGCCACCACGAACCAATCACGAGCATCCGCAGCCACCGCCTCCTTCCAGTCAGCTCATGGACAGTAGGTCTCTCCATTGGTACATCAAAACAGCTGAATGCACATGGAACCTGGAAGTATCCGTAAGGCAGTCAGCATTCGTGCCACGCGTAGGGCTACCTCTCGCCCGACGCCGTACATGTTATGGACAAAAGATAAGATCGGATCGGAATTATCCCGTTTGTGACAAGCCACCGCGAATGGTGCGTGGTTCAACGAAGGAAAGCCAAAAGGTGTACCGCGAAACAGGTATGCCGCAAGCCTGATTTCCGTATTTTAGGCAACTAAGTCTAGGAGCTTTGCGTGTGTGTGGTATGGCGACGAATGAAGTAGGCCTCCTCGACGCAACCAACGTAGGTGATATATAAGCCGTGATGCGTGACCATGCGTCCTCCCAGTAAAACTACCCGTCATCTCATCAGATCTTGGAAAGCCTCCTAAGCATCAGATAAGCTTAAATCACCCCGAAAAGTTAAATGCAATCCGTCCTCACATCGCCCGCCACTACCACTACCAGAATGGACGAAATCGTCTTTGCGAACCTGGACCGCTGGTACGCATCACAGCCTGATCCCCCCTTCCAAGATCACAGATCCAGCAAAACTCGTAGCTAACGCACCTCATCCTCCAAGTCCATCGTACTCGGTAGGCCATACACTCCCATTCCCTCTTCCATCATCGACACCTCATACTCCAATTCAAACATCCCCTAATCCAGCCCATTCTCTCTCTCTCTCTTTATCTCTCGCTAACTACCCCCCCGAATGATAGTCCTTCTTCGGCGCAATGGGCTGCATATCCGCCATCGTCTTCACAGTCCTCGGCTCCTCCTACGGCACCGCCAAATCCTCCGCCGCAATCTTCGCCGCCGGCGTCCTCCGCCCGGACCGCCTCATGCAAAACACCCTCTGCGCCATCATGGCCCAGATCCTCAGCATCTACGGCCTCGTCGCCGCCGTCATCATCGCGAACCGCCTCGTCGAGAAGCAGGCCCTCCACACGAGCTTCCTGCAGTTCGCCGCGGGGATCAGCGTCGGCTTGTGCGGGCTCGCGGCGGGGTTCGCGATTGGGATTGTCGGTGACGCTGGAGGTGAACTTGTTTCCTCTCCGATCCCACTTCTTCCCCTTGCTCCCTCCGTTTCCCCTACCCCTTGTATTGTTTACTCTGCGCTGTCGATGATACCTACGGCCTTCGGTCCAGGGACAAAGAGGCATAAGAAAAGACCACAGTAAACTGACATCCACCCACAGTCAGAGCGACGAACCAACAACCGCGTCTATACACAGGCATGGTCCTAATCCTCATCTTCGCAGAGGTCCTAGGCCTCTACGGCCTCATCGTCTCCATCCTCCTGCTCTCGACTTCGCAAACGCAAGTCACCGACTGCTCAGGCTCCTGAAAAGCCCCCTCCGTCCCGACGTTTTCCCCGCCACAAATCAAATCGACCTTCCAACAGCAAGCAAGACAGAGAAACCATGTCAAGAACGACGATACCGGTTTCACTATATAGCATAGTCAAATATCTTTGAACACAATCTGAGATATACTCTGGATTAAGTCTGTGTAAACTCTTGAATTTGAAAAACGCCGGGTATTGCAGCCATTGAAACAACGCTTGCTCATGCAAGGTCCTTGTTTGTGCTATCATGTACAAAGATAAGAAGGGACCGGGGGCGTCTACACCACGGAGGCCACCACACACCCACCCCCTTTAAATGCTCCATTCATTGAGGTTATCCTGTGGCGTCACAAATGGCTCATTAATCCTCTTAATAGCAAAGTCGCTGCAAAGAATACTGCGTCATGTTAGCAATACGTCACTCGTAAATAGGCGAACCTGTTGTAAACTCACCATGCTGATGCCACCAACGAGTCCAACTCCGTAATCATGGCCTCCCTCTTGGCACCATTCACCAGACCTTTACTAATCTGCACCTGCAGCTCGCGGATCCTCTTGCTCGTGCCCACACCAGCCTGCTCCAGCACCCTCTTGCCCAGACAATCCGAGTGGAACGAGTGCTGGCAGGGAAAGACGAAAAACTGCCGGCTCAGCAACGGCAGCCCGCAGACGTAGCACTTCTCCCCGGGCTCGACAATGGCGTAACGGTGATCCAGGGCGGCGATCTCTACCTTGATGTTCGTGGCCGTCTGCGACGACTCGTCCATCTCCTTCTTCAACGAGTCGATATTGCGCCCGTAATCCTCGAGCGCCGTGCAAATCTCCTCCTTGAAGTCGTCAATGACGACGAAATCCGGGAAAAAGGGGATGAGGTCCTCAATCTTTAGCAAGTCGCACCGCTTCAAAAAGTCAATGGCCGTCTTGATGCCGTTGCACTGCGAAATGACCTTGCGCGCGACGGCGAGCCAGAGCTTCTTCCGCAGAGGCGGGTTGGACATGGGCCGGTCAGCGATCACAGACGCCAGCTCAACCTCGTTGTGCGAGAGCGCCAGGTCAACGGCTTGCAGGTACTGACCCATGCTGGTGTAGATGTGGACGCAAGACAGCGTGCGGTGGTGCTGGATGCACAGACGAAGGGCAAAATCGGGGTCGTAATTCGGCTCCTCCCCCTGCAATTCTAGATACGACAGCAAGCCAGCTTCGTCTTTAGAAGTCTGGGCATATATCGAGACAAGGGTGTTGTGTACTGCCGAGTCCTTGGAGTTGAGCTGGTTAATAACATACTGCAGATATCGAACGGCCTGGTTCTGCTGGGGGGTGCCCTCGAAGTTGCGGTTATACTCCAGCAGCGCAGGAATCAGCTTGCGAGGCTTCAAGTCGGAATGGCGCATGAGAATCTCAACTAGGTCCGAAGCAACGTGCGTCATAAGCACGGTGCTGTATCGATAGAAAACCTCGGGATCCGTCTGCTTCTTCAGCACCGTCAACACCTCAGGCCACCGCTCGCGCTGAACCCAGTATGACAAGACATAATTGTAGTCGTTAACGGCGTTGGCAAAGTGCAACAGCTCTTGTTCCCGGCCGTGGCTGCTGATCACGTCGTACACCGTCCGCCGGTCGAGGTCAGACTTGTACTTGTTGACAAACTCCTGGAACTCGCCCTGAACGGCGTGGAGCTGCTCCTTTGACTGTGCCGGGTTGAGGCCGTCCGCCAACTCGGCTTGCGTGATGATGGTGTCGTCTAGCGAGTTGAGCCTCGCCATGAAGATCTCTACCAGCCAGCTCGCAATCATAATTCTTTGCATGACGGCCGCCTTCTTCGACGTGCTCAACTTCGCTAGTAAATATTTCCTCAGAGCATCCGGCTCGTTGTTGTCGATAAAGGTAAGAGCCACCTCTTCAAATGGCTTATTGCTGCGTCCGTACACCGAGGCAGCCTCCATATATTGCCGTTTCGCAACGAGGTGGTCACCATACGAGGTCGCCACCGTCTCCCGTTGCGCGGGCGTCTTGGCATGCTGCAGCGCAGAGTCGAACTGCTGCAGCTTCAGCATGATTTGCCAGATATTGCGGTCCTCGTCCCTGACGACGACCTCGAAGATTTCCTGCGCAGTGAACATCCAGAATGTGTTCTTTTGCAGATCCACAGACAAGCTCACTGCCTTCTGCCCCGGGTCCAGCACGATTTGGTCATAGACCACCTCTCCGGTCAGGCGATTCGTGGCGACCACGCGGCCCCCAATCAGGCTGACAATGTGCCACTGCGTCAGCGCAATCGCCTCGACATAATCCGCCGTAGCTTTTCGCTTGCTTCCCGGTCCGTCAGACGAGGAGCCAATCTTGTCCCGCGGAAGCATGCTCGACTCATTAAATATCTTCTTGCCCTCGGCGCTTGAGGCGAGCTGCCCATGAAATATGCCCTGCGCAGACAGCCACGCGTAGGCCCGTTCGTGCGCCTCATCCTCGTACGGGTTCTGGTCGGGAGGGTCCGGCGAGACGACTAGCGCAGACGTCGCGGCGGCCGAGGAGCGCGACAGCTCGTGAATGACGGGCTGCTCCGACTCGAACAGCTTCGTGTACACCGACCCTCCGCTGTCGTGGCCGCTGCCGACCTTGCCAGCCAAATGGAACAGCCGGCTCTGCGTCGCAATCATGACCCGCCGCATGTCCGGTCGTTTCGGCAACGTATCGGCCCAGAGTCCCGTGATCGGTCCATCCGGGAGCTTGTGCAGGTTCTTGAGCTTGATGTCCTTCTTGTAGAACTCCGAGGTGGTCTCGATGGAGGCCTCGTAGATGTTGCCGTCGGCGGCACCGAGCAGGATCTCGCGGGTCGACGCCGTGGGCAGCGAGGGGTTCCAGGCAACGCTCTCGATGGAGACGCCTCGCAGGCGGGCCAGGGCGCGCGGGTGCTTGTGTTGGGAATGGAGGTAGTAGTTCTCGCCGAGCGCCGTGCAGACGAGGAGGTGGGAGGCGGTCGGATCGAGAAACATGCGGCGGATGACACCGATTTCTGCCGGTTTCTTGGGAAGGTCAATGTCTGCGAATGGTCTCATGGTTAGCAACCCATTATTCGCGAGGAGCAAAGTACCGTCATTTCGTCTGACTGTAAAAACGCACCATCAATATCCTCGGGTCTATTAAGATCGATGCGCAAGATACGTCCGTTGGATAACGCCAAAACTAAAACATTGTTCGCGACCTGGGCGGCGACAAAGTCGGCCGCGATGGAGAACTGCAGCTGGACTCGCTCGACGATGAACATGGGCAGCGCGGTGTCGTCCAGGTCGAGCACCCCGTTGCCGGCGGCGACGAAGCCGTCGGTGGGGTTCAAAGCCATGATTCGAAGGGGCGGGCTACGTCAAGGTCATACGGGCATCGTCGCTGGGGATCGTGGTTTCGCTTCGAGCGTTGGTGAATGCACCAGCTGCGGTTGCGCAAAGTGGACGGCTCGTTGGAGGCTGGTGATTGTGTGTGATCGCTGAGGCGTTGAATGGAGGATGGATGACATAGGCAGGGAGCTCGGCCGGCCCCCCACTGCAACCTGGGAACGGAGCTGTGGCGGTACGTACTTCTGAAGCACCGAGCTCTCAGGTTCCTCAAGCTCAAGGTAATTACCTAATTGGTTGTGACATTTCACCACTTATTCGGCACCTCTGCGACAATCTTCACTGGGAATTCTCCATTTCACCACATAGCCAAGCATGTTGCAGCAAATGGAGAGCTTCGTCTATTTTCATCTTAAATTCGATGACTATCCTTAATCTGCCTAGTAGCTAGGATATCTCTCAACCCCTTTGGTCTGCACAATGGTGCACCTCGAGTTCTCCTCGAACCTCCCATCCGCCATTTTGATACGAGGAGTATCCTCAGTTGATCGCTTTTAAAGGCAAGGTACTTTTTCTCGACCCCGTCCGGTTTCCATAGAAGGTAAGGTAAAATAAGTGGGAGCTATGCAAGTTTGTTGATCGCTTTTAAATATGACCAGCCAAGCTCTTCTGCCGGTGTGGAAAGTTGCGATATATGCAAGTGAACATGAAGGTAATAGCGGTTGCTCTAGTTTAGTTAGGCCCGGGCCGTTCGTCACCCGGATAGAGCCGAAATTATTGTACTCGCCTCACCTTCAAGAAGGTGAAGGCAAGTAGGTGATTCGATAAATCAGACCGCCGTCTCAACGGCGGACTCGTCATCGCCATGGTGTCTGCTGCAAGCATCCTCACGCGCGGTATCATCCGTCTCATCCGCGTCGTCGTTAAAAATCGGGTACACCCTCGGCGGCGTGACCGCAGTCGTCGGCTTTCTTCCCACCAATACGCGCGCCTTGACGATGAGACCATGCGACTTGATCGGATCCCTCGCCAGGCGCGCCATCTCTCTCGCGACGTTGTGGCACGCCGTCTTGACGTGATCGGGCTCCCAGCCCATGTACTTCGTAAGCGGCCGCAGGCACTCGGCTTCCAGGCCGTCGATGCAGGCAATCAGCCAGAGCTTGCCCTCGCTCGACTCGAGATTAATAGGTATCGTGTGCTCCGTCAGCTTGATATCGGTGAAGCCGGCGTCCGTCAACAGCTTCGGGTTCATGTGCGCGACGCCTCTCGCCCGCCCGGCCTTGACGCCCGCCTGCGTCAGGTCTCTCGAGAGCTCGTGGATCTCGGACGTGGGAGGGAACTCTGAGAGGAACTTCTTGAAACCCTGCTGGTCGTCCCAGTCCAGCAGCTCGATCCAGCCGCCGGGGCGGATGACCTTGAAGGCCTCCTTGTAGATAAAATTCCAGTCGAGGAAGGCGCCCATCATGTGGCGGAAGTGTACCAGGTCGAACGAGTTGAGCTCGCGCTCCCACTCGAGCTCGGCGTCGTCGACTTCGAAAAAGCAGTTCATCGGTATTGACGTGGGCGCTATGGCGGAAATGTCTGTGCCAATGACCTCGCAGTTGGGGAACTCGTCCGCCATGCCTATCGCCCACTCGCCAATGCCCGTGCCGACGTCTAGTATCCTCTGTGGGTTCTCCATCGGTACCGTGCTCAGCTTGCCGTCGAAAACGTGGAGGTAGACTCTGTGGATTAAGCTCATGCGGCACATTTCCCACTCGTCGTTTGGAAGGTGGTAGTGGGATCCGCAGTATCGACGACCGTTTTCCCATTGGTAGTCCAACTCTCGCTCCATGAACGACCTCGTTGACGACCTGCAGTAACCTCCTAGTCAGCCTACGTCTGCATTGTCGTCACTTGGCGTGCATTGCGTGGGTGTAGAGTTTGGGAAAGCAGCAAGAATTTCAGAAAACTACTCACATATCTTGGTGGTTCGGCGACGTCATATAAGGCATCTCGGTGCGATGCGACTCGCTCGGTCGAGGGTAGTGACTCGGCGCGAAAACAGAGAAATTATCTTCGTCGTCAACCTCCATGCCCTCCTCCTCTTGCGAATTCCACTCCTCGTCGGCCTCGAGACCGGCCTGCGAACCATCTTCGGTGCTGCCCATGACGCTCGTCATCTCGGTGGCGGCGCTCCCGGTGTCGCGCATGCCGCTCGACAGGCCATCGCTGGAGTGGGAGGCGAGCTCGTCGGTGGTGGACATGCTGGACTCGGCGCCCTGCGCGGGGTCTGGTCGTGTGCTGGTTCCCTTGTTGCGCTTCTTGGTGCGCCGCTTCCTGGCCATGGGCGGCGGCGGCCGAGACCCGTCCCGTCCGTGTGTGCCACCCGGGGAGGGTCTGAGTTCGAAGGGGTCCCTATCGCGGTCTTTCTGTTCCTAGTCGGCGGCCCCGGAACGTCATGTCATGGCCCGCGACGGGATGCCGGTAGGGGTGAGGTTGTTGATTTTGTTTGACGGCTGCGAGTAGAAAAGGAGAATGGGTTTCGTCGTTCTCGTCGAGGTTGATTAGGTTACCAGTAAAGGGCCAGTAAAGGGGGGGCGGCGGAGTGGGCTCTCGCGGAAATCCCAAAGGACGGAAATAGAGGGCTGGCGATTTTGGTGCCAAATCCGGATGCTATCGGTCGGCCGATCGGTGGTCGCGATTGCGATTGCTCGGGCAGATTGTGGAAAGTGTGTTTTTTGATCCTTGGTGCAGACTTGAGAGAGAGGAACAAAAGAGAAAAGATGGTACGAGACCGAGTGCGGTAAAGCGGGAGAAGATTGAAAGAAGGGGGCCTCTCTTTGGAAGGGGAAGACGCGGGAGGGCGGGACTGGCAGAGAGACGATGGCTTAAGAAACTCCGTAGTGTAGAGGCTTTGGGAGGGTACGAAGTAGTAGTGGAAAGGACGTTCGTTTTGAGGATAATCAGGCGACGACGTGACTTGCCAGTCGGGTAGGATTAACACTGAAAGGGTATGGCTGCTCCGGGGAGGACCTCCTAGTGCGGGTGCCCTTGGCCAGTGCATTGCTCTAATCCTGTGCAGAAATCCTGACAGGTGCCGGGATCTCGCAACTTGCAAGGACGCTGGTGATGGGACCGGGACGACGAGGACGACGGACGAGGGGGGGTGGGTGGGAACCGACGGGGCAAACGATCAAGGGTTCTTTTCACTGCTGAACTACCAACGGGCATTCATACATGCAATACAATACTGTACTCCGAAGACTGTCTGTCTCGTCAATCTCTTGGACTGTGGACAGACACAGCGGCAGAAACTGTGGGGGCTGCCGTGGAGATCGTTGCTTTACCTTAGCAATGGAACCTACTACGGAGAGTCTTTTGTTCCTAGAGTCCGACTGGCTTGGAACTAACACGGAGACACGAGCTTGGATACCGTACTGCACAGTAGCTGCGGGAGTGGACGAGGGCCATGTCGTTAAAACGGCATCTTAATGGACCCAGAGATGGTGGTGCGGGCTCGAGGTAAGGTATCATTTCGTTGCGTCTGGACCTCTTGCTCCAATTCTAGTACGTTTCTATGCCTAGGTTGTTCCTACGCAGTATGCAGGACGCGGAAGACACATGAGATTTCATTCGTACATTCGAGCCACCAAGCTCTCTGCATTGGCACGCTGGCTATGCAAGGTCAGTGTGCTGCATCAGGGTACACATTGTAGTCGTGAAGAAACACTGGGCACGTAAGGATTGTACTTGCAACCAACTGAGATTCCCAGCGGCTCCCAGATTGTATAAATAGGGCTGCCTGCTATGCTCGAGGATTCGACAAAGTCATGATGGACCATCTGTCTCCCTCATCTTCTTCTCTTCATCTCGAATGAAGTCTAGAAACGAAGACTGGTACGATTTTAGAGAACCGCCGGTACGGGCAGTCAGCACCTTACTGCACCTAAGCACTTGAGGTAGTAGATGGCGGCTGCAGGCAAGCTGCAATATACCCTCCACTGCCTGCCTACCTTGGCATCTCTTCAATCACTCGACCTCTGAGAGTACTATACTACTTACTTCCTTCCCGTCATTGGTAAGCAAGGCGCACCAAACCCTCATGCGCGTCCTTTACCCCAATTCCGGCTCCCACTCGCGATACTTTTCCCAACAGCATGGGACGGAAGCCTGGGCTTAAAAAGTGTGAAAAGAAAACCCACGCACAGGCACTCACTCAGAACTCTCCATGGCGGCGGTGCCCCCAAAGACTCCCAGGCCCAAGGATGAGGGACAGCCCCCTCTCCGTGGCCCCCGCCGTTGGAACCTTGGAGGCTTGGGCTTTCCCTTCCAGACCCCACCGAACCACAACTCCAGAGCCCACAACCGCGCCTCGGGGGCTCTGTCTCTCCCTCCCAGGTCTCTCGCTGCCACTTCTGGTTGGCCCGGGTCTCGGGGATGGATGGGTCCGGTGATTGTGGATCAACGTAGGTCGTCTCCCTCCCCCGGGACCCCCGCCCACACCTAATGTGCCCTTACCCAGAAGTTCAAGCACATCCAAGGGGGAAGAGGATGGGAACCCAAAGGGAAGAAAAGAGAGAAGAGAGAGGGGGCCAAGCAGTTCACGCGAATCAAGCCTCAGGGACCGTTGTCTAGCAGTTTTACAGTATTATTATCTATCTACAAGATTTCTCAACCAAGAAAATGGGACATGTACTGTCCAGCCCTCACCCAGGTTTCAATCTGTGCGATAAAGAGGGCTATTCCTCGGTCGTGACTTTCCTGTACCTTGCTATGTACTTGACGTTCGCTCCCACCTTTAACCCACCAGCCCATCAGGCTCCGGTAGAATCCCAGATGGAACATCAATTCCCCCTCCTTCGATAGATTTGAAGAAGTCCGTACAAGGTGGGGTCCGGAGACGGACAAGAGCCCGATGGTTATCGCTCGTAGCTAGATAGGTATTTCAATATGCACCGGCCGGTGGCAGCAGCAGCAAGCCGGAACAACGCAAGGAGAGGTGAGCTACTACTGCTGCACGGCATTACCAATCCTGCCAATCTAGGTAGGTTACACGAACCTCATAGAGCAGGTAGCTATCCATCCGTACCTCGAATTCAAAGAGAACAAGTTTGAATCCCTCCGCCTCCGAGAAGTCCGATCCCGAACCAACGAAAGTTGAGTGACCGGGGTGTAAATCCATCTCGAACCATTGGCGCGGTACCTTACCTTGCCCTCGTTCCCTTGACCACCTCCCAAGAGGAGAAGAGAGGGGAGAGCGGAGTAATCGTACCGTTCGTATGGGTCGAGGCCTTTTCCCTTGTGTCTCGCAGCAACTCTGTCCATACGGATGGTCCATTGACCATTCAACAGTGACACCAGGACCTAAGAAAGTAAGGTAAAAAAGTAAGAACAGCAGTAACAAGAAACATGTGGAAATGGGAGAAAGAGGGATACGATACCTTCCCGGGGCATTCGGCTACTTTGCTAAAATCTTGAACACCTCCAAAAGCAATCAAACGAACCCAGCAACGAATCCTCCTGCATCTGCATGTCAGAAAGAGAGAATGAAAAACACGTGGTCCAGCCCCCCCTCCCCTCCCATCCCCTCATGCGAAGGATCACGAGCAAGAGAGGAATACCAAAAAAAAAAAAAAAAAAAAAGCAATATGGCCATCCACAGCCGAATGTCGCCAAAAGTCTCCGAGAGGCGCGGCTCACGAGCTTCACAGTCATCATCACACGTGGAAACCCCCTTCCTCCTCAGACCATACAATGTAGCCAGCCTGCCTGTCTATCCCATTGAAAGAGTCTTAGACGATCATTATCTTAGCAGAATATTCCAGACTTAAGACAGACTTAGGCTAGGTTAATGGCCCTGTTGTTCAGATTGCTTCCCCTTTGCTTCGGTACAAAACCAAAGACCCAAAGAGATGGTTCACTCTCCAACAAGGACCAACATCAAACGTGTGAACCTGCATGCCACCACCATCGCCGCCCCCTCTCTCGCTTACACCTTGGCCCACATCTTATCATGAGAGGTAGGAGGGGGGAAGAGGGGGATCAGCATCATTCTATGAATGGATGATGATGACTGTAAGAGCTCATTACTTCATTGCATAACATGCAGATGACAAAGGATGGAAGCAGACTAAACTGCACATGGGCCCAACGATACGAACAGCTTGATCGTTGCTCTTTGAGCTATAACGCAATGCAGTTCCTCACTTTTATGGGTTGTCTTGGCCCTCTATCTTACTCAGGTAAGAATCACTCCTCGTCAAGCACGATATAAAGAGTCTCATACAGGCTGCTACGAAGGGAACACATCACACATGAATCTTATATGAGGAGTTGACTTTTGGGAAAAAAGCTTTGATTTGCCGACCATCGACCATATGTTCTCTCTATGATTGAACCGCCATACTGTGTGCCTTTTACGCCCCCGCCATAAACCGGAGCCAGAAAAATGTGTTGTGTGTTGTGTTGTGTGTTGTGTTGTGTTGTGTGTTGTGTTGTGTGTTGTGTTGTGTGTTGTGTTGTGTGTTCTGCAAACTTGCCAAGTTTTATCTTTGGCCATACGCCAGACCATGTTGCACGTCTCTAAAAGGATTTACATCGTAACAATGGAAGGAACACACACCCTTCCTCATGTCAATTTTCATGTCTCTCATTCATTCCCCCTCTCCTCCCGCTCCCGGCCACTCGTCTACTGTCCAGCATATGATCTATGCTCTGACAGAGTGGCCGTTGGTGCCGTTGACACCATCAATCACCTTTCTCTTCTTCGACTCGGGGGTAGGCGGTGAGTCGGCCACGGGCTCCTGGTCCGCAGAGACATCCAGTCCCTGGACGACGGGGAAAGGCGTGAGAACGGAGGTGATGTCACCCCACCACTCCTCGCCGAACTGGCGGTACCAGTTGACAGTGATACGCAGGCCGTCGGCGAAGCTCGTCTTCTGGTCCCAGCCGAGCTGGCGCAGCTTGGTGCCGTCGACGGCGTAGCGGTGGTCGTTGAAGGGACGGTCGTGTGTGTACTTAACCCACTTCTTGAACTCGTCTGTCGTGGAGAAGGGGATCTTCATCTCCTTGAGGAGATGGCTGCAGAGGTCAATGTTGGAGATCTCGTCGTAGGATCCGACGTTGTAGATTTGACCCATCTGGCCCTTGTGGAGGATGGTGTCGAATGCGTCAGCCGCGTCGCCGGCGAATAGGTAGCGACGGGTGGGGCTTCCGTCGCCGTGGAGGACGACGGGCTGGCCTCTGTTCAGCAAACAACTGAACTTGGGGATAATTTCTGAGTGGGTTAGTTAGCTACAATACAGGAAGCTTGACGTGTTTTGGTGACATACTCTCGGGGAATTGGTGCGGTCCGTAAACGTTGTTACTGCGCACGATGATAACGGGGAGCTTGAAGCTCTTCTGGTAGGACTGGACAAGCATCTCGGCCGCAGCCTTGGAGGCAGCGTAAGGGTTCGTGGGTGCGAGAATGCTGGTCTCGAGGAGGTCGTCATCGTCATCGTTCACCTCGCCATAGACCTCATCGGTGGAGATGTGAATGAAGCGCTTGATGTTGACGCTCTTGGCGCTCTCAAGCAGAACGTGGGTGCCGTAGACGTTGGTGTGAGTGAATCCATATGAGTTACCGAAACTCAAATCAACGTGTGATTGGGCGGCAAAGTGGAAGACGGTATCAATGTTGTACCGCTTCAGGCAGTGCAGGACTTCTGTGGGGTTGGTGATGTCGCCGTGGACAAAGGTGAAGTTTGACTTCTCATTCAGAACGCGAGTGTTGTTCAGTGACGAGCAGTAATCCAGCTTGTCGAATGAGATGATGTTGTATGCGTCGGGGTAAGTGAGAGTAAGATGGCGGACGAGCCAGCATGCGCTTGAGGTATTTTGTTAGCTTGCGGGCCAACCGAAGTGCCAAGACCGCGACTTACATGAAGCCTGCGCCGCCGGTGATCATGATGTTCTTGACATCGGGAAGAGGCTCAAATTTGGTGGTACCCTTGAGCAAGGGCGCCTCCTTCCAAATACCTCCATCCTGGAAGAACTTGCCGTGACCATTGCTGTAGGCTTGGATTGAGGGTTAGCATCTACGGATGGTGATAAGGATTGATAAGGATGGTTTTCAACGTACTGCTCGGCGCCCGGTTCTGGCCGTTGAGTTGAGTCATTTCGACGGTCGGAACGGTATCTCTGTTGTAAATTGGCGTGTCGTTTGGTTGTGTGCGTGTGAGAGAGGTTGAGGAAAGTCGTGCGGACTGGTCGGTGTCGGGAGCTCGAAGAGAGTTTAAGGTTCGGGTTCGATTGCGAGTCAGGCTTGTGCGAGGTTGAAGTACAAGTAGGGAAAGCCAGCTGGGCTTTCAAGGGAGAGAGTATGTGGCCCTAAAAGTGAGTTTAGCTGGATGCCCACACGCAAGACACGCTCATGTCGGGCAATTAATCTTACCTCAGATATGGGATATCCCTATCACGTCTAAATCGAGGCCATTGGCGATCTGTGCCCTGTTCTGTCTCACTCACACCACCCCGAGTCGCGCGCAACTGAGGCAAGGGAGGCCGAAAGTGGTCCGCGGTGGTTGAAGGATGGATGGTTCGTTAGTGAGAGCCAAGCGGAGACCCTATGGCGAATCAGTCGTATTGACAGCGCGACAAAAAAAGAAGTGGTAGTAACTAGCAGTGAGAAATATTGGCAGGAGTAAGTGAGTGGGCAGGACCGGCGGCGACAGGTATGAGGGAGAGAGAGAATTCAAGGAGTTCTGTCAGCCCAATTTTTTTGTGGTTAGTCGCTTGTCGTTCCGTCTCACGAGATGATGGATGCAGTAGGCTGAGATGAGCAGTGGCACAAAGGTCTGGAGGGCGAGAACTGGATACCTGCCACCTTTAAAAAGTCTGTGGCAGAGTGACAGCTAGAGTTCAGATAGCTTCGGCAAGGTGCATATGGAACCGTCGTAGGCGTTCAAATGAGATGGTGTGAGTAGGCTGTAAGAGGCATCCCAAGTTGAGGCGGTCGGTGGACAGCAGATCAGCAAGGGCCGAGATGATTGGCGTAAGCTCGACTGGGGAACGAGCATAGACGACCAGGTACAGGGCGGGTATCCGTAGCTCCAGGATAGAATCAAGTACCGGCCCGAGCTGCGGCGAGTACTTGGCAACGTGTCTCTTGACGTCTCTCCGTCTCTAATTAAAAGACTCGAGAGAGGGATTCAGGTTATTCGTACCCAGCGGGATCAGAGTAGCTTGGATCATGTAAAGAGTACAGCGGGACATGTAGGTAGGTCAGCTAATTAGCTGGGTTCTCTCTCTCTATCTCACTCAGATTTTGGTTAGCAGCCGTGGATGTGGCTTCCTTGCGATTACGACTGCAGCCACGGTCGTCGCTCCGATTGAGTGTGGGTGCTTGGCTGATGTTTTGGGGACAATCTCATGGATGCCGATCTAGCCCGGTGTGGGAGAAAGTGGATGGTGCGATGGCTACTTGCTGCTGCTGGCCTGCTGCCCTCGGAGCAGCTGCTGCGGCAACTGGTGGGAAAGGAACAATTTGGCCGTACTCAGGTACTTGACAAGTGCAGTATAACAAGTGCGATGAGAGTGGGATCGCAGATAATAGTGGTGACATCCGTAGTGTGGTACGGAGGAGCGAGACTGAGAGAGGTGGATGGTGGGGGTGGACACCAAGAGGGTCTTGGCTGGGAAGCAACATCTTGAAACATGACGCTTGCCTATGTTTCCAAAGTATCTGTACTTCGTACCCGTACTCTCAATCTCTTCCATCACTCTCGATTCCTCAGTACCTAATTCACGTCAGCCACTGCCACTGACTATTGTAGCAGCTTACCTACTACCTATGCGAACAGCGAGGTATATATGCTTGCTTTTTCCTCGAGCATCTGCGTAATTAGTGCGAACCGGGGACTTTCCAAGGGAACCCTGGCATGGCATCCAGGCACAGGCTGCGTCCACGACAACTTTCTCAGGCTCTCCCGCCGCGGCCCCTCGCGATGTCCCAAAAATAAAATACAGCTCCAGTTTCCCGGCAGCACGCAGACGGCGCAATTTTGTCTGGAGTTTGCAAACACCCGGCCGGCAAAAGCTTGTATTTTGAGAGGCGTATCTAGACGTGTCAGAACGGACGATTTCGAGTATCGAGTACCGGGGGATGTGCCTTACCTAATGCACTCGCTATAGTTGACGGATCATGTGATGATGAGATACGTACGGAAAGGCATCAAGACTCGAGAGCCGATTGGCAGCGAGTTGAATCGGACAAGTAACAGTACGTATCTGCTCTCTGACGTCCAAGGCGACTGGTACTTTCTCGGTACCCAGATCCTTACGCGCTGCTTCCCTGCCCAACACCTTTCCCTCCCAATTCCCCAATCCATACCCGTCCGGAGCCGCTCTTTTCATGAGATGCCGTGCAGCAACTTGACAGATGCAACCCCAATCTAAACGAGACTTCCCAATGGAATGGGACCCCTTCTTTCCGCGCAAGCTAATGGAAACTAGGGAGAGCGACTACGTACGTCCAAGACACCGCTTTCGACGGGTATCATGGCGGCACGGCCGACCACGAGGCGTCGACACTGAATAGTTTGCCAACTAGCCACAGATAGACCAGTGCCCTGAGATTCCCAGCCCGTCCCAGTCTCAGCTGGCTTCTCAGCCGTGGGCGCCGTGGGCGGGGGACCATTCCACAAACGCCTCCAGACCGGCCGCTAGTTCCTTTTCAGCCCATTGTCTGACAATACGCTGTTCTTGCTTCTGCGCCTAGAGGGATGGGGCTCGCAACCAATCTCTTCATCACTTTCTTGGCCTCCTTGCCTCCGTGATACTTTGGGCTCTTTTCGTTCATCAGGGAGAAAGCAGGGGTAGCAGGGGCGAAAAATAAAATAAAAAGAATGTCAGGGGCCAAGAAGCGCTGGAATGTTCAACATGCCCACGTTCAGCGAGGTCTACACAGTAGAACTATTTCGCACCTTTTGCAACCCTGGCTCCAAGTACTTACACTTTGACTCCATCACACCGCCAAGACCTAGATGCAGCTGTCTGCTCATCGAGCTCCGTCCCCGGTCACACCTTCCAGCGAGAGACGAGGAGCTTTGAGTTGGCCTCCGGGTAAACACGACAGCAAGAAACATGCTCGTGAACCGGCCCGTGACGGACGCCACAGATGCAGTCATCAATGTTGTAAACATCCGATACGAGCCACTCTAGGGCCGACGTTCACGGATAGACTGACGAATGTGTCTCCGGCTCACGATGCTCCATTGGCTGACGGACGATGGCGACAGCGGAGCGTGCTAGGCCGGCTTCTCCCACTCGCCCGGCTCCTCGAACGTGGAGCCGTGATGGGCAAAGGCAACACCAGCTCCGGCGCCAGCGGGCGCCGTCGATGCTGGGGAGGCCGGGCGCGCGTCCCTGGTGGCTTGCAATGGGCCATGTGGGGTGGCAGACGCGCAAGAATGTGGTGCTCATCTTTCCCATCCTCCCCCTCGTGCCACGAATCGACCAAAGCACCATGGTAGACCACACTGCCTCAGGGTCTCTCTGGGGAATGCTGAAACGCTCGAGGATGACTTATCGGAGGGAGGAGACAATAGTGGTCAATACCAGACTGGCACGGAGCGGACGGTAGCCAGATTCCACGCAATCGCTGACATGTTCATCGCGAGGGATGTTGAGCAAGATGAGCCGACGACCCAAGTCAAGCGAGCGGCCTACGCCGTACAAGGCCAACTAATTTTGGCGTCCAAGGGAGCCGGCAAGACCATGGAACCCCCGTTCCTCCCGGCTGTGCGGACTCGACTTGCATGCTTGCGTCTTCAGATGAGATTGGCGCAGGGGCAGTGACGATCATGGATCAAGACCATGGACGGCACTTCCAGCGACAGATGCCAGGCACTGCAGTAACTACACGCTGCTGCCCAGCCAAAACACATGACTTGCTGTCGGCTCGTTTCAAACCCCCCATGTCCTAGACATTTCAGAGTCTCGTCAACGGTTGGTCGTGCCAGAATTTGCGGGAAACGGTGGAGTAATCCGACAGACGAACGGCAGAAGATGCCGTTGCGATGCGGCACATTGTATGCTGTTCATGCTGAAGGACCGCTGGAATGAGCTGCGACTGCGGCCAAGACATGGTGCATTCCTTCAGACGTCGAGAGATATTGGCGACAAGGAGCGAGGCTGCAAGTAGGCCACTTGGCAGCATTGGCGGAGGTTCGTACTGGGACTCCAATGTCTCAGGGAGTAAACTTTCCAATCTAGGCGTTAATTGTTCTGCTAAACTCTATCCGCGAGAATTTTTGACAGCTGGACAATTGGTTCAAGTCGATGGAGCAGGACGACCCAGGAGGAACCGAGCGAACCGGCGCAACCAGAGAAACAGCGCCGTGTGTCCCTCAAGAGCAGCCGCCATCCCAGGGGGAAGCTCCGTCGAAACCCTCTCTGTGTCAAGGCCATTGCCCACGGTCCACACGGTGACGCGTGTGCGGATTGGATCAGATCACAGAAAGTTCACGCTGGGATGCCGGCGAGAGCGAGAGTGCAGACAATTAGACAGAGTTGGGGCGGCTGTCGGAGAGAGTTGGGCGCATATCGGGCTGTCCGTTACTTCTTGAGCTGCTCGCGGAGGATGGCTTGTCGACCTGCTTGATCAAACGACTTGACACAGAATATGAGGCTGCGTTCGTCCTTGCTCAACGAATCGGCACCAGGTGCAACGAGCGATTGCCGGGCGAAGAACAGTAAGATCTCGTGTTCCTATTTGTCCTAAGTGTCAAAAACACTGACGACAGGACCCGACTGGAGCGAAGCTAACGTCGAGCTTGAGTGCGAGTGTGCTGCATACGGCGGGCTTGGTGCCATGCTGTGGTGTTGCAGATGTGACGGGTACGACGGGTCAAGAGAGACTTGCAGATTGTCGAGTCGGGTCTAATTGGATCTTGAGCGGGGCTGAAGCTTACGAAGTATTAGTGGCTTGGCGCTAACTTACGTGGTGTGGACCACAGCATGTACTCGTACGGATACACAATGTGCGCTACAAGACTCTGTTTTGGGGAATAGAAGGAAAGCCACCGTGGCAGATGAGGGCGAGGCAGGCAGACAGGCAGGCAGAGAAAGTTAGAGAGAGACAGACCAGAAAAGAAAGGCGGACTCCAGAAAACAGCTCCCGTCCAGCTCAAGGAACCCGTGGGCTTGCGTCCGGTTGGATTGGTGGCTTTTGATGCAGCCATCTCGATCTGCAGGTGTTTTTCTATGTCTTGGTGTAAGGACGTTCAAGACCTTGGGCTTGTATCCGTACGGTACAGGACTCGATGCCCCCCTAAACCCAAGTCCAGGGAAACGGACCATGGTCCAAATGGCTTGCAGCCTTGTACTGGGCGTTCTCCCAGGGAAGGAAGGGCGGCGGCGGCGACGGCGGGGTGGCAGAGCAGGGTTTGGCCTCGTCTTGTATGTTCAGATGGGATGGCTGGCTACTTTATGGTCCATGCCGCCGGATCGAGAGAAAAGATAGGAAGGCAGCCATAGCTTAACCAGCTGGCTCTCGTCACGATGCTTAAGCGTGCGCCAAGCTTTCGGAATGCAGACATTGTTTCTATGCAGTCTTGTCAGCGGTGCGCAAGTCTGTGTGGATAAGTCGAGAGAGTGTGCGCCGCGACACAGCAACGGGAGTGCCAGACTCATCATCAATGTGTGTGATGGACGTGAAAGTCGCAAATCGCACGTCGCAAGTCCCGGTACGGGGTCGTGGGGCCCGCACCTTCCCCTGCCCTTTCCTTACGTCTCCCTCCTTCCTTCTCATCCCTCATCCCTCATCCCTGCTTTTGCTCTTGCTCTCTCTGCTTTCAGCCCGGGGTAGGTGCTGGTCACTGCCTAGTAACTATTAGTAGCTACGACTAGGGAAGGAACCTCCCAGGTAGTCCCGTACTTTGCCCGTACTACCACCACCGAGACCCCCGCCAGCCTTTTTTCGCCCTGAGTCTGACGCAAAAGAGAAAGAACGAGACCCCAGAACTCGCAGACCAGGCGGGCAAGAACGACGTACTTACTTTGGGACGCCGCCGCCGCCTCGGACCTTCCCATACGATTTTCGTTATATTTGCACCCGTCTGTCTACCTTACTCCCTTTCCCTTCAATTCCGCGGTTGCCCTTCGGAATTCTACCAGACGAGGCGTCTCCCTTTAGAGCATTCCAACCAACCGACGACTTTGCACTCTCGATACTCCCTTGTGCAACCCGACTTCCCATGGTACACTGAAATAGGACCCCAAAGTCCTCACCTGGCGACGATCTCAATTCATCAGCACCGGCCCTCGCCTGAATTCACGCACCGCCTCGCCGACTGCCCGCCCTTTTTTTTCCTTTTGCTCCCGCTCATTACCGTGGACTCGAATCTCATTCACTCACTTACTCAGCTTGTCTGCTTCTCTATTCCTTCCACACCAACTACCTCGTCTCGCCATCTCTCGTCTTTGCCCATCATGACTGACGACTACCGCACCGAGCGAGCGGGCTCTTTCGCCTCATCTTCCACCGATGCCGCGACTCTCCACGAGCTAACCAAGCTGGACCCGATGGAGGACAGCGTTCAGAACCTCAAGTCGCACGATGATGAAGAGCTGGGCACCGAGGAGGACGAGAAGCTCTTGCCCAAGACCAATGAGAAGGAGGAGCCTCAGAAGTCTGGCATGACTTCTGCCATTATCTGGATGACCGTCAACACCTTGGCGACGATTGGAATTGTGAGTATACCACCAAAACCTACGATTTCCCAGGGAGGGGAAAAATCATGCTGACCGTACCTCCCCCAGGTCTTCACCAACAAGGCCATCTTCTCCGACCCTCAGTGGAAGCTCTGCCAGCTCACCTTTGCGAGTTTCCACTTCTTGGTCACTTTCGGCACGCTGTTTGTCCTCTCTCGGCCTACCTTCGCTTACTTTACTCCGCGCCGTGCCGCCATCCGGGACTTGCTGCCGCTTTCCGTGGCCATGTGCCTCAACGTCATCCTGCCGAACCTCTCCCTGGCCTTCTCTTCCGTGACTTTTTACCAGATTGCCCGGATCCTGCTGACGCCGACCGTCGCGCTCATGAACTATGTGCTCTATAAGGCGACACTGCCCAGGAATGCGATAATGGCGCTCATCCCGGCCTGCCTCGGAGTCGGCATGGTCTCTTACTACGACTCTCTGCCTACCAAGGACGACAAGGTCAAGACCACCTCTACCCTGGGTGTCGTCTTTGCCTTTTCTGGCATCTTTGCCTCGTCTCTCTACACCGTCTGGATCGCCAGCTACCACCGCAAGCTCCAGATGTCCAGCATGCAGCTGCTTTACAACCAGGCCCCCATTGCCTCCTTCATGCTTCTCTACGTCATCCCCTTTGTTGACACCTTCCCCGACTGGGTCAATGTTCCTGGCAACCGCTGGATCATGATTGGCATGGTATGTTTCCACTGTCTTGAGTACCTTGATTCACTGTTGCTAACCGGGAACTCACAGTCTGGCGCCTTTGCCTCGCTCATCAACATTTCCCAATTCTTCATCATCGCCCAGACCGGTCCCGTGTCCAGCACCGTTGTTGGCCACCTCAAGACCTGCACCATTGTTGCTCTTGGCTGGATGGTGTCAGGCAGAGCCATTGGCGACAAGTCGGTTCTTGGTGTCTTTGTTGCCATTGGCGGCATTGTTGCGTAAGTTGTAAACAGAGCCTTTCTGCATATGAAGACTAAATTAACGATTCACGCAGCTACTCCGTCGTCATGCTTCAGCACCAGCGCAACCAGCGCAAGTAGGCCATGGTCACATTGGCTGAGGCTCTCCGTTGACTTTATAACATTTCGGAAACGGTTTTTCCTTTCTTTTTTGGCAGCATGGGGATCATGGGAATCAAGATGGCGTTGAGTAGATTGAGCCCGTCGGGATTAGACAGGGTCTATTTGGGATGATACCTCTTTTACATGAACCCAAACCTATCATGGCTCGGCGTATGGGGAACACAGGCACTCGAATTCGTAGCAAGGGAAAAATAAAACACTTCCATTATTTTCCAACCCAAAACCTGACGCATCTTTATGCCTCTTCCTTTTATTGTGATATGCGACATGACATGTCTGAAAACCCAATCTACTCTTTTTTTGAAGCCATGTAAATAACGCCGTACGGGGTGCTCTCTGGCCAACAACACAATGCATCACTATACTTGACACCCCGACATCCGCAGCAACCGAGGTGACCGAAGACCACACGGGAAGGGAAAAAAAAAATACTCTCTACAACTGGAACCGCTTGCGGTCCTTCTCCATCCTGGCCTTCCACTCCCACGGCTGCGACTCCTCGCCCTCGCTGCCCGCCCTGCCGATACCCTTGTCCACCCTCCTCAGCTTAGCCGTGAACCGCGGGCCGACCTCCTGCAGTCCGACGCGGATGCCCTCGACGCCCTTCATCTCGGAGCCCTCGGCCGTCGTGATATTCTTCTCCGTCTCGCGCTTCTCGCGGAAGACGTAGCGGTGGCGGCGGAAGAAGAGGTAGTCGCGCTGGTTGTGCACCGTGAGCACCTGGCGGCCCTCGAGCTCGGGCTGCGGGGGGAAGAGGCGCTGGAAGAGGGCGGCGGTGAGCAGGCCGAGCGGGGTCTTGAAGTTGTTGAGGAGGAGCTCCGGGTAGTGGTTCGTCGGGTTGCCGTGGCCGGGGAGCTTCTTGCCCTCCATGAAGTTTGTGATGGTAAAGGTGAAGGTGGGGCCGACGGGGAGGTGGACGATGGACATGCCCGTCAACTTCTTCTGGTCTTCCTTGAGGAGGACGACGGCGGTGTAGTCGCGGTTGGCGGCGAACTTTGAGATCTCGCGGAGGGAGTACTTGTGGCCGTAGCGGTGGGCGGAGCGGGGCACGTAGGTGGAGTTCGGGAAGACGGTGCGGAAGATGTTGGCCTCGTGGTGGAGGGTCGAGTTGAGGGAGGTGGTGATGAGGATCTTGGGGGGCGGGGGCGCGTCCTCGGAAAAGAGGCTGGGGAACTTGAGGGCGAGGGAGGACGGGGTGAGGTCGAGGTTCGTCGAGGTCGTCGAGGGCGCGGCGGAGGAGTCCCTCTTTGCGCGGCGCTTCTCCTCGCGCCGCGCCTCCCTCTCGGCCTTCTTCTCCGCGGCGGCGGCCTCGTCTTCCTCGTCGTCGAGCATGCTGTCGTTATCGCTGTCGTCGTCCGCGCCGTCGTCCTCGCCATCCTCGTCGTCGAGCTCCTGTTCCAGCGCGGCGTTCTCCTCCTCTTCTATCCTCCTCTTCTTGAGCCTCTCGACGTCCACCACCTTGCCCAGGCTGTCGTCGTCGACGTCGTCCCAGACGCGCTTGCTGTCGATGGTCTGGGGCTTGTTCTTTGCGAGGCGGGCGGCGCGCAGCTCGGGGTTCTTGTCCTCCTCCTTCTTGCGGCGGAAACGCATCTCGCGCTGGGCTTTATCCTTGTCCTTCTTTTGCAGGACGTACATCTCCTTGCGCTTGAGCTTGTTGGACGTCTTGTTTGTGAGCGAAGCCCCCATGGACTTGCCCGGCTTGGAGAAGCCCATCTTGAGAATTGGCTTCTGTTTTTTTTATATTTCTTTTTTTCGTTTCGATTGATAGAATGTGAGTTTCCTCTGTCCGATTTCGTAGAGAATTGGCCCGTGGATTAAGCTCGTTCGATCGTCTGGAGGTTCGGTTTGAGGGTATCTGTCGCAAAGAAAAATGATGCTGTACAACGTTCGTCGGTCCAGAAAAAAAAAAAAAAAAAAAGGCCGTACAATCAATGAAAATCAGCTTTGGAGAAATTTTGGCGGGGCACCGACCAATCCCTGCAGCAGATGCATTTCAGATGGGTCCCGGCGTTCGGTTTGCGGGGGCGCCAGGGATTGTCTTCCTCGATCGCCGTTGGTGGACGAAGTCACGGCGAATTGAATGATCCGTGATTCCACTGTAAGATACCAAGGTACCTATCGAGTGGGGTGGGGGTCCAAAAGGGAAGATTCTGGTCGAGTCCAATCGCCTGGTGCCGGTCTGCGGCTGCGGGACAGAGGAAGGGGTCCGTCCGGTGCCGCGTGCGTTCCTGGCCTGGCGTGGATCGCAACAACAGGGCCACCTCAACTGACACTGACAGGCCACTTTTGGTGCACCCAATGCCAACCTGGAATTGGAGGATAGAACTTTTTTTTTCCCACCTCAGGCTGCCCACCAACGAGGGGTGTGAAAACTGGAAAGGGCAGACGAACGTTGACATCGACCACGACCACATTCGCTCATACACACTACCTACCCCTCTATACCTAGCTCACACTCTGCAGTCTGCACTGCACGCACTCTCTCTCTCTTCGGGGCATCTTTCCAATTGAGAGCCAGCCATCCATCCAGGTTAGGTAGCCTTCCATAGGCATTACTTACTTGGCAGCAGCCCAGACTACAGTGAGCTGCCAGTGACTCCAGCCCCCTCCAGATGACTCACGCTCCTCTAAACAACCCCACCAAACGATCGAGCAGATGAAGCCCTTTCGCTTTGTTGCACACCAATCACCTTCAATTCGTTCCACAGCTAGCTTCTGTGCAGTTCGGCCGGCCGCTTTTTTCCACTCCCACCAACGTTACCCCTCCCCCTCCTCCCACTACTCAAACCCATACTCCTCCTCCCACCAACGCACCCTCACCACCTCCCGTCACCTCTCCCGGGCTCAAGTCCTCGTCCCCTCGAAAAAGAACAAGCCCTCGTCCGCTGCCGCCGGCTCTTCCTCCAAGATGACGACCACCGCGACGACCCTCAAGGGTCAGCCTCTCGACAGGCAGACCCTCGACGCCATGCTGCGTCGCCGTCTCTTCTTCACCCCGGCTTTCGAGATCTACGGCGGCGTCGCTGGCCTCTTCGACTACGGCCCTCCCGGTTGCGCCCTGCAGGCCAACATCGTCGAGACATGGCGCAAGCACTTCATCCTCGAGGAGGACATGCTCGAGATCGACACCACCGTCCTGACCCCGCACGAGGTCCTCAAGACCTCTGGCCACGTCGACAAGTTCGCCGACTGGATGTGCAAGGACCCCAAGAACGGCGATATCCTGCGCGCCGACCACTTCGTCGAGGACGTGCTCGAGGCCCGCCTCAAGGGTGACAAGGAGGCCCGCGGCCAAAAGGTCGAGGAGGAGGACGACCCCAAGAAGAAGAAGAAGAGAAAGACAAAGGCCGAGGCCGTCAAGCTTGAGGACGCTGTCGTCCAGGAGTACGAGGAGATCCTGGCCAAGATTGACAACTACAACGGCGAGGAGCTCGGCGAGCTCATCAAGAAGTACGACCTCAGAAACCCCAACACCGGCCTCCAGCCGTCGCCCCCCGTCGCCTTCAACCTCATGTTCCAGACCGCCATTGGCCCCAGCAGCAACCTGCCCGGATACCTGCGCCCCGAGACCGCTCAGGGCCAGTTCCTCAACTTTGCCAAGCTCCTCGACTTCAACATGCAGCAGATGCCCTTCGCCTCCGCCTCCATCGGCAAGTCTTACAGGAACGAGATTTCCCCCCGCGCCGGTCTCCTGAGAGTCCGCGAGTTCCTCATGGCCGAGATTGAGCACTTTGTCGACCCCGAGGGCGGCAAGAAGCACGTCCGCTTCCCCGAGGTCAACACCGTCGAGCTCACCCTCCTCGACCGCCACACCCAGCTCGCCGGCAAGACCGAGGTCAAGAAGATGACCATTGGCGACGCCGTGAGCAACAAGGTCGTCGACAACGAGACCCTCGGCTACTTCCTCGCCCGCATTCACCTCTTCCTCCAAAAGATTGGTGTCGACATGACCAAGGTCCGCTTCCGCCAGCACATGGAGAACGAGATGGCCCACTACGCCGCCGACTGCTGGGACGCCGAGCTCCTCACCTCCTCCGGCTGGATCGAGTGTGTCGGCTGCGCCGACCGCAGCGCCTACGATCTGTCCGTCCACGCCAAGAAGACTGGCGCGCCCCTCGTCGTGCGTGAGCGCCTCGACGAGCCCCTCATCTTTGAGGAGTGGCAGGTCGAGATCGACAAGAAGAAGTTTGGTCCCCAGTTCAAGAAGGACGGCAAGACGGTCGAGGCCGCCCTCGAGGGAACCACCCAGGAGCAGCGCGAGAAGCTCGCCAAGCAGCTCACCGACAACGGCGAGCTGGAGCTCGAGGTTGCCGGCGTCGGCAGTGGCACGGTCAAGGTCAGCAAGGACCTCGTCAAGATTGAGTTCAGAAAGCGCGTCGAGAACACCAGGGAGTTCACCCCCAACGTTATCGAGCCTTCCTTTGGTATCGGCCGTATCCTGTACTCGCTGATTGAGCACGTCTACTGGAACCGCGCCACCGAGGACGGTGCCGGCGACGAGGCCCGTGGTGTAAGTTAATCCCCGGGCATCCCTCGATGAACGATTTACTAATTAAACGACTCTAGGTCCTCTCATTCCCCCCGACAGTCGCCCCCACAAAGGTTCTGATCGTGCCCCTTTCCGCCAACAAGCAGTTCCAACCCTTCGTCAGCAAGATCTCGCAGAAGCTGCGCAAGTACGGCATCTCGGCCCGCGTCGACTCGTCCTCGGCCACCATTGGCAAGCGCTACAGCCGCAACGACGAGCTCGGCACCCCGCTCGGCATCACCATCGACTTCCAGACCGTCCAGGACAGCACAATCACCCTCCGCGACCGCGACTCGACCAAGCAGGTCCGCGCCGACGAGGACACCATCATCGCGGCCATCCAGAGCCTCGTCACCGGTGCCAAGGAGTGGAAGGACGTCGCGGCTGAGCTCCCTACGTTTGAGAGCCAGGAGGTCGATGTCACTGTCCGGTAAAACTAAAAAAAAAATGGCAGCAGTAAAGAAGAATTTTCATATGGATACCATGTTCCCCCCTTTTTTTTGTGCGACATAATGGGCTCCTCTATAGAGATAGATAGAGTGAGAGAGGTGGATGTTGAAAAGGTCTGTGGAAGGGAAAAATGTCGCCCAAAAGTGACCACCTGTAGACAATCTCAATTGAGCCTTTGTGGATTTGAATCATTTCCTGACACCTTGTCGGTGTGTCCTCGTGTTCCCATGCACCTCAGGC